TTCAGACGTTTCTTCGGAACCGAGTAAAGTTGCACTGATCCTGAATACGACATTCCGACCTCGGACTGCTTGGCAACTACGGGACCATCCATGTTCACTGAATCCAAGAAGTACATCGGACCGAGATTGCCACCACGCACCACTGTCCAAGGACACGGACGTAACAAAGAAATTGTCGTTCTCCACATCGAGCAGAGTGATGAGTATCGTGGTATGCTCCCAAAATCATCCAACAAATCACTCCTCGAGTTTGACAGCCGCCACGTAACGAGGGCAGACCTCCCGTTTGCTACCATTGGAGTTTTTTCACATTCATCCATCAATCAGCCATGGAGCAGCACGGGAAGATTTTCAGAACGAAATCATGCCACTCGTGACATTGTAGCAATGCAATGCGATCACCGGAGACGCAAACAAATCCGCGAATACCTACAGCAGACTCCAGCACGTCTTCAATCCGGCCAAGGGTCTCATGAATATCCTCATGAAGGCATATCAGAGATTGTGGAATGAAACGGAGAATCTGCCACTCGTGGCAAGAATGGAGTATGCAATGGAGACTTCATGCACCCTAAAATCCATCGTCCGTCATCACCTATACATGAAGGCTGGATCAGGGTATGATCGAACATTCCCAGATGTGATGATGACTTTCCGGAAGGAAGAGATGAACGCCATGAACGATGAACAACTGGAAGCCATGCGGAACGATCGGACGTCTGCCATTTTCGACTATCAGGTCTCATCCGCGGAACGCTTCAAGCACGTGAACAAGCATATGTTCATGAATGGCTCACAAGATTCCGACTCGCACAGTCCGCTGATGGTCTACATATGCAGCAGATCTGCCGCCAGGCAACGCAACTTTGAGAGATCCAAGGAGCACCTCAAGAAGAAGCAATCCTGGACTCAGCAAGAGTACAAAGAGCACAACAAGCAGTACTGGGGCAATCCAAAGCAGTGGAAAGACTATGGCGACTCGACCTGGAATGACTATGGAGACTATGGCAGTCAATCCGACAGCAGCCGTCGGTGGTACCGCTGATCACCTGATGAAGCAGCCACCTTTGGCACTTTTACGACCGACTGAGAAGACTCCCACGATCGGCACTACGAACTTCAACCAGATTGATCCTCACCACCAACAAGACTATTCAGTGAGAGGTCAACAGTTTCACATCCGTCCCGCATGTACATAGCGTTGTGCATCACCTTTTCGATACATCTAGGTATCTCACAGAAGTAGTGCAGACTGTTTTCCATTTTGCTCACATGACAAATTATCCGCGCCAAAATTGGATGAATCATTGTGACAATACATGGCTACGGCACTTTCAAGTATGGCTACGGCACGTAAGGCCAAGAAGCCAATCATACACTTCGGTGTGACAGGTCAAAAGAAATGTGTGTCTGTTTTGTGTTGCTTTTTGTTGCACATTGACCTATTCACACACTCCGCTGACATGATGGCTCAAGGCCCTTCAAGTCATTTGTACAGTCATTCGACTCATGGTACATTGATAAAAAGGCTTGCAGACCGCTTTACAGGAATCACAGTCAACACAAGCCACCAGCAACAATCCATCCTCCAATCCTCCATATTGGCATGTTGGAATAGATCCAGGGACCAAATCAACGCCCTCCACTACCACAGATTGCCAGTTCCCTTCTGGGATAAGCACCCCGGCAGTGGGCCTCAGGGGGGCCCTACCCTTGGGGACTGGAACATATATTATATATTCACTAGACATATACGCTACCCCCATCCGCTTCTACAGCAGGCACAACAGACCCGAAAAGTCGATTTAGACTCTACCTTGGACTGTTTCCTATTCTTCAAAATCCACATTACATGGGGTTTAACATCAAATTGGAAAGGAACGTCTATTTCAGTGTGCTATTGGAAAGTAAAACCCAAATTGACTTCAATCAAAACCCATGTCCACCAATGTTTTCATTTGAATCCTAGTTAGTGTTCATTCCCCGCATGACTGCGTGGGTTTCTGTTTACTCTTACTTTGTCGTCCGCGCCGTCGCCGCCACCTCCGACCACTCACCCGCCCGCAGTCCCGCCCGCCCACCCGCACTCACTTACTTGATTTGCTTGCTTGCTCGCTCACGCACTCTCTCTTTGCAATCCGTGTGGCGGGTCACATGTTGCTTTAGACACACCCGCATGTCTCATCTTGTAGATTTCTGGGTCAGAACTGCTGGCCAAGGCCAGAAGTTGCTCCCAAACTATCTGAAGAATCTGTTCGAAATATCCAAACATGCCGTCTAGCCACTTTCCCACTTCCGACTTCCCGTCCGCCCGTCCACCCGTCCGCCTGCGGCTTCATCCTCGGACCCGGAGCTGGCGGAGCTCATTGCGCCTCGGACACGAGTGTGTTGGATGTTGGAAGAACTCGATGGTTTCCAGATTTCACAGAGAAGGCGGGTGGCCCAAAAGCATTTGCGGGCGTAAACGTGCTTCCTCGTGTCTTTTGTGATGATGCTGGTGGGTGTCGAGTTGTAGCTCCTACTCTCCGCGCGCAAGCTTCTCTGCGCAAGTTCCGCGCAAGTTGCTCAGTGCACGTTGCGTTGCGCAAGTGCTGTGTGCAAGTGTTCCTCTGCGCAAGTGCTCCCTGCGCTCTGCACAAGTTCTCTGAGCGAGTGCTCTGTGCAACTTTGCTCTGCCCAAATCTGGGCAAGCGCGCGTACTTGTGTAAGTCCTTCTCTGGCGCTAAAAACTTCTCACATTTGCGAGAACCAAAGAAGTAGGCGTAGGACGCCTTCTGATGACTCTGTTCAGCTCATCAACGAAGATTTCAAAAAAACTTCCTCGCAAGATGGGATTCCGTTCTTACGGGAATGGTGAATGAGCAGAACAAGACTCTCGAGGATCTATTCCATAAGCAGATCAAGAAGCACAGGCCCCTTTCTCATGACCTAGATGAGTACGAACGTGCCGAGGAGGGCACGGAAAAGAGGCCATGTCAATTCTTGATGGGCGCTGCAAGGGATCAGTGTAGAGAAAGAGACTTCTTGCTAGAGTTCTTGCTGAGCTGATTTTTTGAGTATTACTTTAGTCTAGCTAGCAATCACTTATTGCTGAGCCTGTGTTCCGGATTACTACTTTGGTGCTGAAACCGCTTCTTGCTGAGAAGCTTGCAGCTTTGCATTCAAGTTGTTTGGGCATGTTCTTGACAGCGCTTCAAGTAAGAGCAATGCACAAAAGTTCGTGATGTGGGGGCTGGGGGCTGTGCACGGTTCTCGTCCGTTTAAACTGCCCTGACTCTGCTTCTGGTGTGTTGTGTGGGGCACCCTTGCCCTGATTGTTTAGGGCCTCTCCTCTCCTACAGCGGGGCGCTCTGCGGAGTGTGCTGCGCTGGACTTTTCGCGGGGCTGGCTGCAGAGTATGCTGCGCTGGATTTTTCAAAGGGCCAAGCTTTTGGAAGCGCCAGACTTTTCGAGAGCCAGACCTTTACAAAGGGCCTACTTAATCCTGTCTATCTGTCTATCTCTATCTCTAAATATCTACATATCTTTTTATTCTATTTCTATCTGTTTATCTATCTGTGAATGTTTTTTATCTATCTATCTATCTATCTATCTGTCTGTCTGTCTGTCTGTCTGTCTGTCTGTCTGTCTGTCTGTCTGTCTGTCTGTCTGTCTGTCTGTCTGTCTGTCTGTCTGTCTGTCTGTCTGTCTGTCTGTCTGTCTGTCTGTCTGTCTGTCTGTCTGTCTGTCTGTCTGTCTGTCTGTGTGTCTGTCTGTCTGTCTGTCTGTCTGTCTGTCTGTCTATCGACCGATCAATGTCTCTATCTGTTTGTTTGTCTGTCTATCCATTTATCAATCTATGTGTCTATCTGTCTGTCTATCTATCTATCCACCATCCATCTCGCTATCTGCCTCTCTCTCTCTATATCTATCTATTTATCTATCTGTCTATCCGTCTGTCTATCTGTCTATCTATTTTTTCTCGCTCTCTACCTCTCTATCTATTTGTCTATCTTTTTTGCGTTTCTTCTGAGGGCGTTTTGGCCCAACCCATGCTGTTTAAGCTTCTTTGCTTGCTGTTTGCTTGCTGCGGTGCGAGTTAAATGGCAAGCTCAAGATTCTTCATCGGCACCAAGAAGGACACGCACCTCTACAAACATCAAGTTTCTGGTTTGGAGCACCAAGGGTTCCCGGTCTTCCGGGCCAACGGGAAGGGACACGCGCTGTGGGTTTTCAAGGCCGATATGGCCGATTGATGGTTATCAGCGCAATGATGGCGAGCAGTTTGAGACATCAACACGGTGATTTAAGACAGCTGACAACCCATACGACAGCTTGGGAAGTGCGTCACAGTTGGGGCCTGACAACGTTGTTGATGAGGAGCATGTCGACACCAGCGTTGCTCCTGTTGATGAGCTACTGTATTCTCAGCACAGCATTGGCCCGCGGTTCTCCCACCAGCGTTTTTTGGAAGAGCTAATCGACAAGCTTGATGCTTGGGGGCTGGGCCCAATGCAGGAAGAGTTTTTGTGCTTAGATGCATTTCAGATGCGTGGAAAGATCATCCCGCAGAAAACAAACGGCTTTCTGCCTCAAAGGGCACCCAGGCAAACGTGCACCCTCAGCAGGTCCGTGTGAGAGTGAACATCATGTCACTTGAAGGTGACTTCCTTACCCGTCTGTTGACACGTGGGCTCAATAGTTGCGGATGCGACAATTCGTGCGCGCAGCTGTGTCTAGGCTATCGCGCAGACGTCTCGCAGAGGTCTTGCAGATCTCTGCCTGTCGCAAAGCTCATTGCCTGGACTTCTTGCTTGTGGCTTGACACAGCGCGTTGAACACCGAAAGGTCCGAAAGACCTCGGCGAGACCGACAGACACCTTTGCGAGACCTCCGCGAGACCTCCGCGAGACCTCTGCGAGACCTCTGCGAGACCTCTGCGAGACCTTCGCGAGACATCAGAAACACGCGCGCGGCCGTTCAAAGACTCTTGCCAAGCTTCACAAGTTTGTGCGATGGCCTCAATCGCTCGGCGGACCAAATCCCGCCGGCGCCAGCTGGCCGTGATCTCCGCGCAACGCCTGCCGCAGGTTGTCGTCGTTCTCCAGCTGCGGGAAAACCTCAGGGTCTCGATCTCCTGCAAGCGCTTGGTGATCTGGCCCTCGGGGAGTCCGCCCAGCAAGTGAAGAAAGCAACCGCCTGGAGGTCTTCCTTGTTGAGCGCGCTAAACTGACATCATGTCCAGACGCGTTCCTCCTGCACTCTCCGACAGACGCACCTTTGCGGCCTTTGTCAAGGCTTAGTACTGTCTCCGGACCAAATCCCATCGGCGCACGAACGATATGACCTCGTTCTCGCTCGCCTCGGTGGACCGAAACTCCGGCGCGTCATGGCCCGACACCTCCGAAGCTCGGCCGTTTCTTGTTTCTTTGACAGCGGTCTGCTTCCGATCCCCGCAGTAGACAACCAAACGAGAACCCATCTCCAGAGAGGGGCTCTACTCTGGTCCACTTTAGTCTCGCGCAGAGAATTTTGCAGGCATGCGCGCATCAACTTGCATGGGCCCAAAGCAACCTGCGCAAGCAGAGCACCTTCGAAGAGCAACTTGTAAACAATGTTGCCCGCGCAGAGTTTGCGCAGGGCAACTTGTAAAAACCAAAATGCACAGAGGACTCACAGAGATCGACGATTCGCGCAGAGAAATTTGCGCAGAGAACGGGCGCGCAAACAGTGCCGCAACAGCAACTTGCGCGAGGCAGCTCGCGCAGGGCGCTCGAAAAGAGCCACTTGAAAAGGGCTACCTGCGCAGAGAAGTTGCGCAGAGCAACTGCGCAGTCTGCAGGGCCTTTGGCTCACTAAGTGACTAAGTGTGTCACTCTCTTTTCTCGTCGCGGTGGGAGGACTGGGGGCTTGCCAAAACACAGCGGCCGGATGACTGTGCAAGAACTGATGGCTTTTGCTACTGCGCGAGGCGCACTTCTCCTTCGCCTCCTGCTCCTTGAAGATATCGACCTGTCGCGCGAGGTCTCCTTTCAGGATGTTCGTGAAAGCCGAAGCCAGCCTCCCATCAAGGTGAACGAAAATGCCGGAACCCTGAGATTCTCAATCGTTTTTATCGGAGGTAGCAACAACAGCATCCCCAACTTTGATTTCCCAATTTTTATTTTTTGGGATTCGGAAAACGGGGAATGTGAATTCGATCATCCTCCTTAGACTCGCCCGATCTGTTGTCGGATCAGAGGGACTGCCTAGGGGTGCCTCAGAAGCTGCCGTCGAAAGCGCTCGTCGGACAACGAAGATGATGATGAGTCATCAGAGAGACAGAGAGACAGAGAGACAGAGACAGAGACAGAGACAGAGAGAAAGAGAGAGAGAGAGAGAGAGAGAGAGAGATCTTCTCCTAGGCCAGGGCAGCATCTCCAGCGTTCCCGGCGGGAACGGAACCATCCTTCCGGCCATGGACCAACTGCGAGCCAATAACCAGGGAGATACCTTCGGAGCTGGTGAAAGATTGGGTACAGCAGGAGCAGAAGATAGTTGTGGAGCATGGCTGCCTTTGCAGACATGAGCCTCTCCGTCATCGCCTTCAACTCCGCTATCTGCTGTTCTTGCGTGTTGATGGTGGTTACCGCGCTCTGGAACTTCTTTCAGCTTCTTTTTCTGACGGCACGTTGTTTAGCACCATGTTGAATCTTGAGCCTCATCGCATCCGAATGCGATTGAAGACAAGCGATGACCTCGCCATGCCTCGCCTCAGCGATTTCGGCGATCAGAGGTCCTGTGTCCTGATAGCGTTGAACTGAGCATTGTTCTGAGTAGCATTGACTTGTTGGCAGGTCGTATTATCCTCGCATTCAACAGAGGATCGAGACGCGCATTCGTCAAGTTCGACTGATTGAGCTGGTCCAGGGGTGATGGCAAAGGGCTTCCCCTTGCGTGATTGGTCTGGGAGTCGTACATAGTCCTCTGGCCATCAACCAGTCGGTTCATATAGGGAAACTGCACTCGTTCGCTTGCTCATCAGGAGAGGGAAACGCCTTAGTAGGGGATCGGCACTCGTGCCGAGTGCAGCTGTACACTGAGATTAGGCAAAAAGCCCAATATAGACCATCAACTCAAGCAGGGCGCCTTTTGTGCCTGAGCCATTCACCGCGAGCATGCTGAAGCTGTGCAAGTGAGACACTCATGCGCTAGTAACTGTAAATTGTCCCCAAACCTTTTTGATAAAAAAGCATCACATAAACCACAGCTTTCTCGCGCAGGTGCGCTCGTGCAAGTTGGCTCGCGCAAGTTTCTTGTGCAAGTAGCGGTCTCGTGCTGCGAGCGCTCTCCTGCAAGTGCTCTCGCGCAAGTTTGCTGGCGCACGCGCGCTCGTGGGAGCTGGCTGGCGGCTTTTCCGGAAGAACCTTCGCAACGTGAAGGGCGGATCCTTCTCCTCCCGCAAAAGCAATAGCTCAAAATCGCATTTCGGGTGTGGTGTTTCAATGCTGGCGGAAGATTACCCGTAGGGCTCGGCTGCCTGGCCTGGCTTTGGGACGGTGGCTGGTTACTTTGCCCCAACTGCTTCCCCCGTCGGCTTTGCTGGGCTGGTATAACCTGGCTCCAGCCTCGTTTCAACCCAGGCCAGCGCGTGATCCAACAGCCTACGGCGACTTGCGCGTGAGTAACTTGCACCAAGCGGCCAGCGCAAAGTGACTTGCGTAACAGAGAGCTGGCTAGGAGAAAAGCTTGCGCAGCGTGACTTGCGGAGAAAAGCTTGCACAGAGTCTCACTCACTTGCTGACCTACTTAGTTACGCACTAACTTGCTCACTTAACTTTCTTACTAGCTTACCCATTCACTTCGCGCCTTACTGGTCAATTTGCTTACTTACTTACTTACTTACTTACTTGTCTACTTGCTTTGTCACTTACTTAATTGCTTGTTTACTCGCGTACTTACTTGCTTGCTTACTTACTTACTTACTTGCTTACTTGCGCGCTTACTTTCTTACTTTTCGTACTGACCACGCGCGCTACTTTTTCAGCACTTTCCGTTGCGCCACAATATTCGCACGGCGCCGCGCAGCGAGAGCGCTATACCGCACGAAGTCCGCAAGGGTTCATCGGGCGCTCGGCAATTTCGGAAGGCGCCACAGCGAGAGCGCCGCAACGTGCGCAAAGTCTGCGGAGGGTGTCATATGGAGCAGGCCTCGGGAGACCCGTGATTGCGCAGGCTTGGGGAAAAGCCGCTTCAACCTCGCAGCAAGACCAAGGTAGCTAACAGTCGCGCAGAAGTGCCCAAAGTACTGCGCGTGTCAACGACTCACCGAACGCTTTGCAGTTTCGCACAGCGCCGCAACGAGAGCGCAGACGGTTTGTCGGGAGCAGGCCACGGGACACCGCAAGTCCTCGTTTCGGCTCTATGTTAAGTCCGCGGCTACACGGAGTTCAACTTCTCGCGCTCTGTGAGTTTTCCAGCAAGCTTGCTTTGATGAGGACCGTGGCGGAAGCCTATTTTTGTAGGACTGCGAAACACCCAACTCGTTGTACGCTTTCTGCGAAAAAATCACAGAAATAAAACCATGCGCAGCCACTTGAAGTGAGAAATGGGCCCACAGGAAAGGCCCACATTGTCGTCGATCGCAATCATTTCTTTTGGCTGGATACAGCCACCCCGCATTGTGGTCCACCAAAACACAAAAACAAAGAGATGTGTTTTTTCCCTGGAGCCAAGCCTGAGAGCAGAAAGGACATATGATCATAAGGTTTATCTCCTTCCTGCGGCCCGCGCTGGCAGAGGTGTAGCCAGCATCCGTGGAGGCTTCTGGCATGTGAGCTCGACTCATAGCCGCGCCTGTTGTTGGACAACACCCTACAGCGAGGTTTCTGTTGGTTTCCCCAGTCAGACACCTGGAGAACACAACGGAAGGGAGCTGCCCGAGACATGTTGGTGATGGTGGTAGGGCTGGTGTTACAACCCCTACACTGCCAGGAGCCTGGCCCGCAGCGACCGCAAGCAATTCAGCAGCTCAGCATGTGCCAACGAACAAAAACGCAGCCAACTCAACCGGCCCAAACAAACCCAACCAACCACCAAGCCAGCTGCCAGCCAAGCCCAACCCCGCCGCCCCCCCCCCAAACAAATATATAACAAAAACAAACAAGCGATGAAACGTGGGGCTACGCGGAGGCCACTGTCCCAGGGCAAGTAAACGGGACGCGAAACCGTGCCAAGTTTTCTTTTGCTTCCATGCGCCTCCCTCGTGCTTCATGCCCTCAGCCGCGGTGATGCCCTCCAATGCCATCAGGCAGTCGGCGAACGCACGCATGGCCTGCAGACGCTGCCATGTTGGAACCTGACAATGTTGCAACTTCCTCTTGGCTCTTGGGTAAAAAGATGCAGGACGCCGGCCGCCCGCCGCTTGGCTTGGGGGCTCCAGTCCAAACGCAGTCCACTTGCCAAACAGGAGCTTTCCACGTGATAACAATGTTCGAAGCCCTGTAATGGAGGATCTCACGTCTGCACAATTGGGGTTGTCCGCCGTACGAAAGCAGGCCCTTATGCCAGCAGCCCAGAACCCGCGATGTTCCTTAATCATGGAACCATGGTGTTGGATCGTTGGCTGTGCAGGGTTCTCGCAAGACGAACCAACAGATCCAATGTACCCAACATTGGGTTGGTTGGCGCCAAAAACCCGCAATGGCCCCTCTAACACGCATGGTGGGGTTCTGCAAAATGTGCACCAATCAGTTGACGACGCGCGCCCCTTTCCATTTAAGCCCAATCACAGAAGGCGCTGTGTGGCGCCAACCCCTCTAAATTGCACCAATTTTGAACATGTCACATGTCCCATCCTGGAGGCGCTACGAAAAGGAAGTTGCCTGGTGTACTGAATCTACACCAGTCTGGAAACGAGGTACTTGGCGGTGCAAGTTTCGACCATGAAGGATCTTCACCTGCTTCAGCGCTTGCCTTTAGTGGGCAAGTCGATACTGAATACTGCAACCATCGCGCCGCAGTATTTTCTTCAAGGGCAGCCAGAGAGAGCTTGCGCTACGGGGTGTTTGTCGAGGCCTTGCTGAGGCTGCATGAGGAGTCCGTGGGAATTGATCAAAGCTTGAAGGACTCTGGCTGGTGATCAAGAACACGCTTGTTACGCCGTTGTAGAACGGACGCCTACCTCTGCCAGGAAGCCCCTTGTTTCCGAAACATATCGCGAGTTTTAAGACGACGGTCCGCGTTTCTAGAGTTTGTTTTCCAAAGCAAGGCGCAAGACCAGAATACACTGAAGACAAATCGGCTTTTCCCATGAACTACGCTTTTAGTTGTTCAGAAAAACACACGATACTCTCGGTCATTGGTTTCCTTTCAAATCGACAACGTTAAGGAGGGGGAGGCACCAAGTACACAACATCCATAGGTCACAACGGTAACTCTCACACAACCAACTGTGGGAAGCCAAACAGCGTAAACGCACTTGCAACACTGCCCGCAACATTCCCCCGGCGGCTCAGTTTTCTCCCCACATTGCCCGGCTGCGCTTGCTGGAGTAAAAAGGTTCCCAACAAACTGCGCCAGTGCAATCTGTTGCGCGTGGCTTCTTCGAGCCCTGCGATCGCAATCTGTTCGCTGCTTAAACCATGTTACTCAAACTGCACAGGGCATCTTTGAGCCGTGTTCTTTTCAACTATTTCCTGCTAGAGTGTCTCCACCCTGGCGCATACGGGCGTGCCATTCTCCAAGCCCCTCGTCGTGGAGATTGTGTTTCATCATAGTCTTGGAGTTGCTCAGCCGACTGAATCTTGAAGGCTTTCACCACCTCCAGATGGAACGCTCGGCATTCCTGACGTTCGGTTCGGGGCGCATGCCCAGGGCGCCAAGAACTTCGTCTAGCTCTACTGTGCGCTGTCAAGCTCCCCCTTGCCGTGGACGAAACCAAGTCGGAGAAACTGGCCTGCTCCTTGGCGACACACTTGCCTGCATAGATGGGGAATAACTGCGAGATGAGGGGAGACAGGGAAGGTTTCAGAACAAGCCCCGCCTAAGCCAAAATGTTACCCAAGTGGAACATGCGCGCACACCTACGGCGACAGTTTTGGCCCAGCACCGCTACGCTGGCACCAGCCTGTCGCTCGCGAAGGCCGGGCAACGACTCAGCAGTACTATAAGAGTGCTCGCCGCAACATTCTTCTCACTTGGCATGCGTCGCGCGGGACTGGGAGGCTGACAAGGGCGTTCGCACAACCAACTCTAAGGGTGGCTACGACGCCAGTGCTCGAGAGGGCTCAGCCAAAGCCTTGCGCGGGTCAAGTCGGAGCTTGGGTCCGACTGTGACTTGCCCGCGAAGAAGGTGGACCCGTGCCGTTGCGCCATCAGAAAGATAGTGCTTGGGCGCGCCTCATCAGGAACCAGATCGCTGCAGATTCTTGGGTTTGTCTGCGTGAGGTCCAAAAGTTGTTTTGGGTGAGCCAACACGTCAACCTGGTTTAGGCCAGCGCATGAATCTTACACTCTTTACCCAAAGATAGAAACGAACCCCGTCCTCTGGGCCAGTGCCCTTGCGCCGCGCTGCGGAGAACTCAGAGAAGAGGTCCTGATGAGATGATCCCTCGGCTCTGGGCAATCCTGAAATGAAAGGATAGTGGCAACTGCAAATCACCCCTCTTCTTTTGGGAGGGGGGATCCTTTTGGAAGGGCATGTACCTACAAGTTTCTGGGCGTTCTGGCGAGCAGCTACTAGCAAAACTGCAAGCCTGAGTAATATCCATCTTTTTTTTAGAGCGGGTCAATGAGAGGTTCATGTCAGCCCAAAACCGTGCCTTGACGCGTTGCTTGTTGGTGTCCGTCAAGGCGTCGAAGACCTGGTCCGACCTCCGTGCCATCCCGTGACACGCGCAAGCAAAGTCCATCCATTTGACGCGTCCCACCTCTACACTGGTTTGGAGCACATTTAGGGAATCTTTCTGGCCAATGCAGCGGTTCGGTTGCTAGCTGTGCTCCATTCAAGTTTGAGCACTGTTTGGTGCCAGGCGATTGCAAACTTCTGAAAAACAGTGGCTCGCCACCTGGGAAAACGGAAACCAAACAATACGCAACGTTGTGTGTAAACGCCCAACTGGAAGCGTTCACAACCATCTGTGGACACTGCCATGTTCGCTCCACAACATCGCGCGTAGGCCCAGACATGAAGTAGTCAAAGAGACGGTCCAAGTACTGCACCTGTGCAGGACGGCCAAAGCGCAGCGAAAGAAAGCACAAAAAGTGGGGAGGAAACTGGAAAAGGGGGTAGGAAGGAAGCAAGGAAAGGAAAAAGGAAAGCAAGGAGGAAGCGAGAAGCAAAGAAACAAAGCAAGAATGGCACAAGTAAAGAAACAAAGGAAGAAGACAAGCAAGAAGAAAGGGAGGAAGGAAGGCTCCCAAACCCAGTCGCGCGACCAAACCCCTGCTCCAGCTGCATCTAGTCCATCTGGAAGAGGCACGCGCCCGGTCGAAATCCCATCAACTCCGGTCACATCAATCAAATCCCCTACATTAAAAACCGGTCAAACTCGCCTGTAGACACCAAGAAAAGCCGGGTAAAATCTACAAAAACTGGTCAAGTTTAAAACCAGTCAAATTCCTTACACTCTGTTAGGCTTCGCTCTCCCCCAGTCCAACGCTTATTTGTGGCTCTCTCACAGCGGCTCTCGTTCTATCTAGCCCTTGAAGCACACGCGCTCTTGGAAACCGTCTCGCGCACCCACTCACTCACTCAATCAAACACAAACATATCAAAGCCAGCCAAAAGCATTCTGGCCAAGGCGGGTAACGCGAAGCGTGAAAAGAAGGACGAGAAAGAACGAACAGAATGCACTGAGGGAAAAAGAAAGAAACGAGGAAGGACAAAGCAGGAATCAAGAATGAAGAACACAGGTCAAGCACCTGCCGCAGCTGGCCCCATGTTGGCACGCGCGACCTGAACTTCCCAACGCAAGGCTGGAATCAAACTCTGAGGCCTGTTTTGGCCGACAACGCCGAAGGAAAAGCGCGCCTTTTGCCAACGTTGCTCGCAAAGCTATTTGTGCGTCGGTCGAAACCTCCAGTTGATGTAAAGGAGATCAAGCTTTTGGAGGGGGCCTATCGCTTTCCCATGTTTCAAGCACTCGCCCAAGCAAGCCTTTTCAAGAGCTCTCGGAGCTGCTACTGTCAGAGCGATCTCCACTACTGCTACTGCTGCTGCCGCATTTGGAGAAGAAACCGGAGAAAGAGAGGAGGCAGGCGAGCAAGCGGAGCTACAACAAACTGGAGAAAGAGAGGGAGGCAGGTGCCATAACGAATGGGCCATTCCCCGCGCGAGGCGGAAACTGGAATTGTAGAGGTGTTGTTTTAGTGTCGTTTTGGGTATCGCTTTGAGCGCTGGCCGACTGTGGCGCCTGCGGGCGCCAAAAAAGAAGCATGATAGGAAGGAGGACAAGCAGTTCTTCAGTAGACTCTGCGAAAAGGTACTCTTGACACACCAAAATGACTTTTGGGTATGGCCCCACAAATCAAGAAGCCGGTAGCTCCGAACCCAAAATCCGTCAAAGGTGACCTCGCTTCAGCTGAAAATGGTTTCCCTGGGTATGGTGCGCCACCAGGCTCCAAAATTACTTTTGGGTATGGTTTGGCCCTGCCAGCCACCACAGAGTGGCAAGCCGGGGAACTCAACTCAATCAACAAGAGGCACACCTATCATAGATATCGACATCCTCACATGATCACTCTACATGCCTAGTCAAGGTTACTTGTTGGTGTTTGCCAATGCGTGCAGAGTACAATTCACACTCTCCAGACTCTCCGAAAAGGCACTGCTTATTTTTGGGTATGGTTTGGCCCTTCCAGCAACCCAAAACTCAAGCCGGCAGTTGGACCCAAAAGCTTGCTTTCCCTTGCCAGTTTCCCAAAAACCATGGCGAGGCTCAAAAATGGGTGTGGGGAATGGTTTGCCACCAGGCTGCAAAGTTCCTTTTGGGAATGGTTTGGCCCTTCCAACCACCGCAAAGTAACCAGCCGGGAGACTCAACAAATCAACACGAGGCACACCTATCATAGATATCTACATCCTTACGCGATCACTTGTTTCCCTACAAAAAGACACCTATGTCTGCTACAGCCAAGAGAGCTTAGCGCGATGCTTCAAGCCCAAGGAACGGGAGGGGCGACAAGAAACCGGAGAAAGAGAGGGAGGCAGGTGCCATAACAAATGGCCATTATTCGCGCAATTGTAGAGGTTTCGTTTCGGTGTCGTTTTGGGTATCGCTTTGGGCGCTGGCGACTGTAGCGCCTGCGGGCGCCGAAAAAGAAGCATGATAGGACGGAGAGCAAGCAGTTCTTCGGCATCCGAAATGCAGTTCACACTCCGCAGACTCTGCAAAAAGTTACTCTTGACACACCAAAATGACTTTCGGGTATGGTTTGACCCTTCCAGCAACCACAAAGTAAGAAGCCGGCAGCTCCGAGCCCAAAATCCGTCAAAGGTGGCCTCGCTTCAGCTGAAAATGATTTCCATTGCCAGTTGCGCAAAAAGCCATAGCTGCAAAAGGGTTTTGGGTATGGTGTGCCACCAGGCTCCCAAATTACTTTTGGGTATGGTTTGGCCCTGCCAACCACAGAGTGGCAAGCCGGGGAACTCAACTCAATCAACAAGAGGCACACCTATCACAGGTATCCACATCCACATGACTGACTTGTCGGTGATTAAAAAACAAACCAAAGGTTGTTTCCCTAGAAAAACGACAAAGCTAAACCTTGCTTCAGCTGTCTTGCTTTCCCTTGCCAGCTTCCCCAGGGTATGGTTTGCCACTAAGTTCCTCTTGGCTTCCAACCACCGCAAAGAAACCAGCCGGGGAGACTCAACAAATCAACACAATCTGCATCCTTACGTGATCACTTGTTTCCCAAGAGAAAAGACACCTATGCCTCCTTCGGCCAAGAGAGCTGCGTGCCATGCTTCAAGCCCGAGGAACGGGAGCAAGCGGGGCGACAAGAAGCCGGAGAAAGAGAGGGAGGCGCGCAAGCGGAGCTACGACAAACCGGAGAAAAAAAAAAAGGAGGCAAGTGCCATAACACATGGGCCATTCCCCGCACGAGGCGGAAACTGCAATTGTAGAGGTTTTGCTTCGGTGTCGCAAAGTTTTGGGTATCGCTTTGAGCGCTGGCGGGCCGACTGTGGCGCCTGCGGGCGCCAAAAACGAAGCAGTTCTTCGGTACCCCAACACCAAAATGACTTTTGGGTATGGTTTGGCCCTTCCAGCAACCACAAAGTAACAAGCCGGCAGTTCCGGACCCAAGGACAGCCAAAGGTGAGCCTTGCTTCAGTTGACTTGCTTTCCCTTGCCAGTTTCGCCAAAAACCATGGTGGGCTCGAAAATGGGTTTGGGGTATATTTACATCCTCACACGAGCACTCTCATTGACTACCCTAGGCTGTGTTAGGGTTGCTGACTTGTTGGAGCTTGAAAACAATCCACATCTCTTCCATACTTCCCTTGCATACACTCTGAAGCATGAAGCTTATCGCTTTTGAGGGGGGCCTATCGCTTTTTTGGAGTTTTCCACGTTTCTACGAACTTCATGCCCATTCCCTGATAAAGTGGTCTTTTGAAGGTTTTGACGGTTGCAAAGACATGGGGCGTCTCTAAGGGGGACGGCGAATTTGCTGTCAATCTCTCCGACTCAACAGCGACCACACCCGCATCTACACCACGGACGCCTAGTGACAAGAAAAACCAGAAGAGCTGTTGCTCTTCCGCGAAGACTCTGCCTGTACACAATTGGCAAGGGCTATGGTCATGATTCCTTCAGGCAAATCAAATCAACCCTTCGGCACCTGCGCGATGATCTCCTCTGGGGACATGCCAGGGTTGGCTGTCGCCTCACCTCAGACCCAGTCAGGCTGATCCTTTTCAGGGTGATGGTGGTTCGGAAATCTGGGCCATTCATCAGTTTCGAATCTATGGCCCCAAAAGCACCATACATCGAACGTCCGACCTTGCAACGCGCTGCGTCTCCTACCAATCGCGCCACGCAATTCAACGCGCGACCCTCCGAAGTAGTACTGCGCCTGCCACGACATCGGCGCTCCACGCGTCAACGCGCGCGCCGTCCAAACAACTGCGCCTGATTATATGTGCTTCCAAGCGCCGCGCGCCGTGTAAAAAGTGCGCTTTCAACGAAGCGAAGCATGCCCACAGCGTTGCTCCTGCCAACTCTGACACGTGTACCACGCGCATATCCAACATTAATCCGGGACTTCGGCGCCGCATCTCAAAAGATACAAATACATTACAACGTCGCAAAAAAAGCACGCGCGAACACACGCTGACCTGCAGACCCCTTCTGCTACGCATCTGAGGTAATCGCGTCGGGCCACTTTTGTTTGTCCCGTAGGCCTAGACAACAACGGTTTCTAAACGCCTGAACCAAGGAGCCCACGAATGTCGCAACAGTCGGCAGCGCGCCTGACAGCCCTCTCCATGGAACTCCCTGCAGACACGCGGGCTTGCCGAGCTGGCGCGTCTGCGCAGCTCAGCCAGAGTGTTGTAGCGCGAGCTTTTCTAAAAGTTAAAATGACTGCGAGCGCGACGAGAGTTAGCGCTGCTCGGCGAGGGCTCGGCAAGCGTCTGAACCAGTTCAATTTTCGTGCCTCCTACGAGCTAACAGCCAAAGACTTTGTTAAGTCAAAGTTTGCCCGAACCAGTTGGAGAGTCAAACATGTTTGGCTTCGGTCGGCGCAACGACAAGTCTTCGTGCCCCAAAACGGGGTTTTGCGTGTCACAGGGTTGCGCTCGGGAGCTTGCAAAGCTAGCGCCTGCGACCTTGTGCGGGGAGAAATTCAATGCTGAACAGGGTGTGTGACTGCGTGTCAAAAGACATCGCGACTGACCCGGCTAAGAGCACAGCTGCCTGCCGTTACTTTGGCTCATGTGCGCGACCCTGCTTGCCGCGCGACGACGAGAAGGGTCAAGGCCTGGTACCGAGAGGGGCGCCGCTGGCGCCAGGGCCGGCGAACAAGCGCACAAAGCTTCTTTGCGCGCCGAGCAGTTGACCGCCACGGCTGCGAAGCATTTGTGCTTCTTACGTGGCGCGGAAGGAAGTGACGCTAGGCAACGATTTTACGGCCCTCAAACAACTTGCGGCGTGTCTGAGAAGGCCCCCGGCGTTCAGACACGCCGGAAAAGGTCCAGGAACAGCTCCTCACACTTCCGGACCGGTCCGGAACTGTGAGGGGAAGTCCTGGCCGAACTCGCGTTCTCAACGCTAGCGTGAGATACGCGCAATTAACTTAATTTACAGGAAAGGCTGCGGGCGCAAAACCTTACAGTCCGAAACTGTGAGGGGAAGCCCTGCGCACTTCAGCTTCAGCTAGGCCGGCTGAGCGCTGTGAGCTCGTTGCCTAGCGTCGAATACCCTCTGAGAAGCGCGAATGCGTCGCCGCCCCCAGGGCGCAATGCCTCACACGATGCAGGGCCCGCCAACAAGCCCAGCCAAATCAGGCCGGGAGCAAGCGTAGCAGGGGCAAAGCCTCTTTGACCAGTGCGATCCCTGCAAAGTTGCAGCAGGTAGCTATGCTCTAAGCCGCATCAGTTGTGACTTTCTTTTTGCGCAGGACGCAAGCTCTCCCGACCACAGCCCTGTGACACGCAAACCTGCCTTGCGCCGACCAGCTGAACAAGCCAACCTGCAGCGCCCAAAACAAGTTGAACCTGCTGAATTAAGTTAATGTTGAACTCTCTTTCATGTAGCCCCGAACCAGTCGGGACTCTCTTTAGTGAGACCCTGGGGGTCCTGGAGGGGCAGTACTTGTATTGCCAATCCCTCTCAGATTTCCAGTTGCCAATTCTTTGTATTTCCAACCCAGCACTTGTTTTAGCATTGCCAATTCTACTTTAGTATTACTAAGGCTGACTCTCAGATCCCCAATACTTACTTTAGTATTGACAATTCTACTTTGGTATTGCCAAGGGCCGTTTTTTCAGCAACCCCCAAAACCAGTTGGACACTAAAGAGGACCCCAAAACAATCGCATTAAAGAGGATCTGGGCCTCTTGCGGGCACCCCCCGTTGTGCGACTGGTTGCCCGTATTTTTTTGTAAAGAAGTTCATCTTAAATTTGATGGTTTGGGGACCACTTCAAGAAATCGATTTTCCAATGTTTGCCAGGATTTCGTTGCCCGTTTTTTTGCCCGACTTGTTTGCCCATATTTTTCCCAGCGTTGTTTCCGGCAAAAAAAAATTCCATAATAGAGGACCCCTAAAACAGTCAAGCGATTCTGAATTAGACAAATGTTTCCACAATAGAGAGCACTATTTATAGAAAGGTCCAACATTTGCACTTTCGCAACTTACTGCTTCCAACGAGCTGTGTCAGCCTAAAACCGTCAGAGCACACAATTTGTTTGACTTAGCGGTCAGTCCAGATTGAGGAAAGACACGCTAGGCCCGCAAAACTTTGAGCCCGCCGCTACTTGAGCCTACGGGGGCTTGGGAAATTCGAGCTAGTTCGGGCAAACCTGAAATAACAAAACCATCTAGCCAGTGTTTAGATCGCGCTCGCCGAGGCCTTGCCGGGCTGCTTGGACACGCGTCGCTTTCATAGCCACATAACTTTTACACACGCTCACTAACTCCTACTGTAGCTGTTCTAGGCCCCAACGCTCTGCTGCGAACGAGCGAAGTTTGAGGCCGTGTAGCCATGTAGCCATTTCAACCAGAGGCTTCTGCTTTAAAGCTTCAACAGAGAATCGGATACTTAATGGAGAAGCCGCTTTGGTGGCAGTTGTTACCCAGCCCAAACATCTTGCATTGGAGGCAAAAGAAGGGCCCGACACGATTGCCCCGCATTAAACGACTTGTTCCAGCAAGACCCCAGGCATGGGAGAAACCCTCCCCCATCCACCCCTTCGCTCCAGATCGGCTGCAAATGTTTGCAAATCGGTGTTTTTTTGATGGGCCACTCCACACTAAAAAAAACTCGCACCCAGCCCAAGCCCTGAGGCCCCCAACTGGTGTCCACCGGCCTCGCCTCCATCAATGGCACGCCCGCCTGCTCGAAAGCGTTGCCCTGGGCACCCTCCTTCACCTCAGGAGGAGGCGGTGCAAACTGTGAAGACCTCACGTTGGTAAGATCCGCCGACCCCGTCTTCTGAGAGGGGGAGACGCACGGGAAGAGTGGCTGGCACATGAGCATAACCGATGGTTCGTGAAACTAAGTTAATTCTGCCAATAGCTTGTCTCGTCATTCTTACTCTTATATACATGTCTTGTAGTCGTCCCTTCTTGCTTATTCCTATTCTTATGTGCGTTTCAAGCGTGGCTTTAACCATTGGTGACGCAGAGGATGCTACGATGATAGGTAACCATCATCGTGAGGAAAGGTTCACGGTTAGGCCCACGCATTTTATTCTGCTCTCGCACGGTGTTTCGTTCTATAGCATTAGCCAGTGGGCGGCTTCGCCTGACAACAGCCACAAAAGAAGCTTGGGATTCGAAACGCAGAGGATGCTGCGACGATAGTTATCATGTCAGTCGTCACCCTTACCAGCCTCATGATGATTGTCATCGCAGTCATCATCCTTATCATCATCATAATCTTCATCATCAGAGTCATCATCATCATAGTCATCACACCATCACTTTTACCATCATGAACGCTTGTCATCAGCATTATGGTCATCATCATCTCTTTCTTCCTTACAATTCAACTGTGGCGTTAGGCAGCGTTGGTTCTGCGGAGGATGGTACTGGTTCTGAGGAGGATGGTACGATGACTGTTGTCACGACAGCCCTCTTCCTTATCAGCATCACCCTCACGACCATCATCATCTCATTGAGGCAGCATTCGTCATGCAGAGGGTGCTTCGAAGATAGTTGTTGTCACCGCCTTCATCCTTATCATCATCACAGTCATCATCCTTATCATCGTCATCATCATAGTCATCAACATCACCTTTATCATCATCATGGTGGTCATCACCATCACGCTTATCATCATGATGACCATCATCATCGCTTTCTTCTATACTTTTCAAGTGTGGCCTTAGGCAGCATTGGTATTGCAGACGATGCTACAATGATTGTTATCATCAAAGCCCTCTTCCTTATCATCATCATCAGCATGGTCGTCACCCTCTCTTCTTTGCCAGCATTGGTAATGCAAAGGATGCTACGATGATAGTTATCACCACAACCATCATCCTCATCGTTCTCATGATGATGGTTGTCGTGACAATCATCACCACACGCATCACAATGTTCATCATCACCATCACCCGTATCATCATCATGTTTGTCATCATCACCCCTCATCGTCACCATGGTGATAACAATCCCTTTCTTCTATACGTTTCAAGTGCGGCGTTACGCAGCATTGGTAATGCAGAGGAAGCCACGACGATAGTTAACATCACAGCCCTCTTCCTTATCATCATCATCATCAGCACGGTCATCATCATCTCTAACGAGGCAGCATTGGTAAAGCAGAGGACGCTACGACGATAGTTGTTGTCACAGTCTTCATCCTGATCAACATCACAGCCATCATCCTTGTCATCAGCATCATCATAGTCATCGTCATCACCTATAGCATCATGACGCTTGTCATCATCATGGTCTCGTCATCTCTTTCTTCTATACTTTTCAAGTGTGGCGTTAGGCAGCATTGCTGATGCAGACGTTGCTACACTGATAGTTATGATGACAGCCCTCTTCCTTATCGCCAATTTCAGCAAGATCATCATCATCTCTTGTTAAGCAGTATTCATTGTGTAGAGGATGTTACAATGATAGTTGTCATCACAATCATCATCCTTATCAACCTCATGATGATTGTCGTCACAGTCGTCACCCTTATCATCGTCACCATGATTGTCATCATCGTCACCCTCCTCGTCATCATCATGACGGTCATTCTCACCCTTCATCATCATGATGGTCATCATCATCTCTTTCTTCTATACTTTTGCAGCGTGGCGTCAGGCAGCATTGGCAATGCGGAGGATGCTATGATGGTTATCGTGACTGTCCTCTTCCTTATCATCATCATCCTCCTCACAACCACCATCGTTTCTCATTGGGGCAGCATTGGCAATGCAGAGGATGCGCAAAAATACCTTCGAAGATTTGTCGTCGCAGTCTTCATCCTTTTCATCATCACAGTCATCATCATCACCTTAATCATCATCACGGCGGTCATCATCATCACGCTTATCATCATCACGATGGTAATCATCATGTCTTTCTTCTATACATTTTGGTGTTGCAGACGACGCTACGATGATAGTTACGACAACAGTCCTCTTCCTTATCTTATTTTTCAGCATGATCATCATCATCCCTTCTTAGGCAGCATTGGTAACGCAGAGGGTGCTATGATGATAATTCTCATCACAGCCATCATCCTTATCATCCTACTGACGGTTGTCATGACAGTCATCACCCGTATCATCATCATGGCGGTCATCATCACCCTTCATCATCATGATGGTCAGCATCATCTCTTTCTTCTATTCATTTCAGGCGTTGCGTCACGGCAGCCCTCATCCTGATCATCATTATCTTGATGCTTCTCACCATCTCCATTGGATATGAAGAGGATGCGCAGGGGGTGCTTCGAGGATAGTTGTTGTCACCGCCTTCATCCTTATCATCATCACAGTCATCATCCTTACCATCGTCATCATCATAGTCATCCGCATCACCTTTATCGTCATCATGACGGCGCTCATCATCACATCTGTAAGTTAACATCCTTACATCATCCTTATCATCCTCGTGATGATTGTCATCACAGTCAGGTCATCATCGTCTCTTTCGTCTTTACAGTTCCAGTGTGGCGCTGGGCAGCGCTGGTAACGCAGAGGATGCTGATATGATAGCTATCCTGGCAGCCCTCATCCTTCTCATCATTATCTTGACGCTCACCATCATCTCTTATGATTGGTAATGCCCGTATCATCATCAGCATGGTCATCGTCATCAGTTTTGTCATCATCATGGTGGCGAGCGTCATCACCACTGTCATCGTCACTATGACGGCCACCAGCATTGGACATGCAGAGGATGCTACAATGTCATGTTGGTGGGCGGTTCTTGGTCCTAGGCCAGCGTAAAATGACTGGGCCTAACCTGCCGAAAAAGCCAGCACACTAGGCCTCGCAAACGCCAGCGCAGTTGGTGTCGTTAGTTTGCCTGCGTGGTGGCCCGCATCCTCTGATGCACTTTACAAAACCCCAGGTAGTGCTTGAAGCGTTCCCATTTTTTCGACTTCAATTGTAGCACAGCTGAGCGGCCCAGCGCAGCCGAGCACAACCGAGAACCGCCGAACACACGAAATTGTGAAGGAGGCTTGATAGGAAGCAGGAAGCCCTTCACCAACACGCCTTTTAAAAAAGAACGGTGTCTCTTTGCTATGGTTCGCGCCGCTTAGTCTTGGGCCCCTCGCAAGTCTGTGTCCGCGCTGTGCCAAGACAACCTGGTCTTTTTGCTGTCGTTCGCGCCACTTTTGTTCATTAAAAGTTGCGCAGTGCCCGCCGTTGAGCACAATGCCCTGTCCATTGAACACAGTCGCAGTGCCCGCAGCGCCCTCTCCAGTTAAAAACGGCGCTTGTCCATTGAACACAGCGCCCTGTCCATTGAACAGGGTGCCTTGTCCATTGAACACAGCACCCTGCGCGTTGCACATAGTCTCCCGTCCGTGGAACACAGCGCCCTGTCCAACTGAACACAGCGCCCTCTCCAATTAAAAACGGTGCCCTGTCATTTGAACAAGCCAAAACGCTCCAAAGAACCGCAACAGGTTTCGTGGGGTGGGCAGCACAGGGCGGCAATCCTTAAATCCGGCCGCGGCCTGTGAAGCGGGCTGAACGGGTCAAAAAAAGAAGAGCATCACCTGCATAATCTGCTTCTGGCGGGTGTTTTTTTTGCAAGTTTTTCGGTCTGGTTCTGGGTCTGCAGCCTTGGGCTTGTGCGTCTGCGGGCGGTGATGCGGGTGATGCTGGGGATGTGGCTGGGAGCTGCCTTCCACACCACCTGAAAGAAATGTGGATGGACAATTGTGTGAAATTGATGGACCAAGCGAGAAGGATGGAAAATCGATGTAGACTGTGTGGAAAATGGATGGAAAACGGATGCAAAATGGATGGAAAATCAACGGCATAGTTTAGCTGAATTCAAGACATCGTAAACTGAATGTTGTTGAAACTGTACGTATGGGCGTGCGAGTAGCGGACGTACGAGTGGACGAGTAGGCGCACGAGTAGGCGTACGAGTGGAGGTACGAGTGGACGTACGAGTGGACGAGCGGGTGTACGAGTGGACGTGCGAGTGGACGTACGAGTGGACGAGTAGGCGTACGAGTGGACGAGCGGACGCGCGAGTCGGCGTGCGAGTGGACGTACGAGTGGACGAGCGGACGCGCCAGCGGGCGTACGACTGGACAATCTGGCGGGCGACTAGATGTGCGAGTAAGCGTAATGTTTCATTTGTTTTAATATTTGGTCATGTTCAGCATAGTTTGTCGTAGTTCATTGTCACACCGTATCATACTTTATCCTAAGAAACTAATCATCAGAATTTATCATAAATTAGCATTGTGTTCATACTTTATACTAGCCCATAATAGTGCATCATCATACCTTAGTTCATCACTATAGCATGTCATCACTTATCATTATTCATCATAACTCATCATCATAGCTTGTCATTATTGATCGTAGCCTATCATAGTTCATCATAGAGCATCATCATATGTTGTCATAGTTTTTCATGATGTATCACGATTTATCATGTTATCATAGTTCATCAAAGTTCGTTATCATAGCTTATTATACGTTATAATAATTTGTCATAGGTCATCGTCATAGCTTAGCATAAAGTTTTCAAACTATCGCAAATTATCATAATTTATCATAGTTAATCATAGCTCATCATCATAGCCTATCATGATTCATCATTTTAGCATAGTTCACCATAGTTCATCATCATACTTATCATAGTGTATCATAGTTCATCACAGTTGGTCATCCATTTATCCATTTATCACAACTTATCAGAACTTATCATAGTTCAACATAGTTCGTCCTCGTAGCTTTCCATAATTCATCATAGTTGATCATAGCTTATCATAGTTCATCAGCATAGCTTTTCCTTCCTTGTGTATCAACATTTATCATTATTTGGCATAGTCTATGATATTTTTCAAAATCTAACCTAGTTCATCATCATAGCGTATCATCAGTTATCATGATGTATCATAGTTCATCATCGTAGCTTGTCATAATCTATCATAATTTAGCATAGATTTTGCTAGTTTGTCATATTTCAATCGTTTATCGTGGTTTATCACATGTCATCACTGCCATTATTGCATGTTCTCAAAACGATTTGAGGGATCACTGACTGGCTGATGAGTTTCCATGTAGGTAGGAGGAGGGGGTTACACCTCACTACAAAAAAAACACAGCTTTTTAGAGTATATTGAAACATCAAGAACCACATTTTCACCCATTCGTGCACCCACTCGCACTCTGCCATCCACTCGCACACTCACTCATCCACTCGCGCGTCCACTCGTATACTCGCTCGTCCACTCGTACGTCCACTCGCACGCACGCCGTACGCTCGCACAGATTCTGACCCGTACGGTTTTAAGGGCGAATTTTGGACAAATAAGGCTTATTTTCCCGAAAAGCGGCCTTAAAACCGTACGGGTCAAAATCTGTGCGAGTGTACGGGCGAGCGGGCGAGTGGACGTACGAGTGGACGAGCGAGTGCACGAGAGTGGACGTACGAGTGAACGAGAGAGTGCGCGACAGGCATAGGATTGCACACGCACAGAAATAAGGCTAATTATCTAAAAAATAAGCCTTAGTTTTCAGAAAATCTGTCTTATTTCTGTACGTGTGGGCTTGCGCAAGTCCACACGTACAGAAATAAGGCCGATTTTCGGGACACGTACAGAATAAGGCCGATCTATTGAAAATAAGCCGTATTTGTTCCAAATATTGGCCTTATTTCTGTACGTGTGGACTTGCGCAAGTCCACACGTACAGAAATAAGGCCGATTTTCGGGACATGTGCAGAAATAAGGCCGATTTATTGCAGAAATCGACCTTATTTCTGTGCGTGTGGACTTGCGCAAGTCCACATGTCGAAGAAATGGGCCTTTTTCGCGAAAATCGGCCTTACAACTGTACGGGTCAAAATCTGCACGAGTGCACGGGCGGGCGTGCGAGTGGACGTACGCGTGGACGAGTAAGTGTACGAGTGGACGAGCGAGTGTACGAGTGGAAGTACGAGTGCACGAGAGGGGGCACAAGTGGGTGTACGAGTCGGTGCGCCAGTTGGTACGCACAGGTCTGGGATTCCATACACGCAGAAATAAGGTCGAGTTTTTGAAATCAATGCCAGCATATTTTCTCCAAACATCGGGCTTATTTCTGTGCGTGTGGACTGGCGCAAGTCCACACGCACGTATTTTTCTGAACATCGGCCTTATTTCTGCACGTGTGGCACCGGACAAGTCCACTTGCACAGAAATAAGATTCCTGGACAAACAAGCCTATTTACCACTGCCTAGAGCTTGGAAGGCAAGGTTTGGCATGATGCATCAATGCACTGTTAGGATCTATTTTACCTCACGTGCTCAGGTTTTACTCATGAGACAGTTACAAGACGCATATGACTGCCACGGCCAGAATCGTTGAATCATTGTTTGCTCCACTAGACAATGTCACCTACGTTCACTCGTGCGTACTTCGGTGATGATATCACTTCACGGAACATGGTCCAACTGTTGAAACTTACAACTTAAACCTTTCCAACTTATTGACTAACTTAATTATATATAGGCACTTTTATCGGATTGATACAGCACCCGTACTGTACTGATAAGCTCCCCTCGCCAACTTGCACATCTGCTACATCCACTCGTACGCCTGCTCGTCCACTCGTACGTCCACTCGCACGTGCACTCGTACACCTACTCGTCCACTCGTTCTTTCCACTGGTACGCCTACTCGTCCACTCGTACGTCCACTCGCACGCCTACTCGTCCACTCGTACGTCCACTCGCACGTCCACTCGTACACCCACTCGTCCACTCGTACGTCCATTCGTACGTTTACTCCTACGCCTACTCGTCCACTCGTACGTCCAATCGTACGTCCACTCGTACGTTTACTCCTACGCCTACTCGTCCACTCGTACGTCCAATCGTACGTCCACTCGTCAAACCACTACTCGTATGGGCGTCTAATTGGGCCTTTTAAAAACCCGTTTACGAGGTTAAGAACCCAGCTAAGGCATAGTGATGGAACATTGATGGACACTTGATGGAAAATGATGGAACATGTATCTGGAAAATTGATGGATACATGTGGGGAAAACGGATGCAAAATAGAAAACATGATGGAAAATAGGAGGAACATGAAAATGATGGAGCCTGGAGCAGAGGCTTCAATGCAGGGACTGGAAGTCACAAGGGTGGCTGGGTGGGTGTTCCCGGCGGTCGGCTGTGTCGCGTCAGCGTTTAAATAAGAAGATGAGAAGTGTCAACGGCGTCAACGGCGTCAACTGATGTTCGGTGTAAATCGTGCGGCAACGAAGCCTTGGTTGACAATCTGACGATCTACTCCTTTGCCAGTTGCGGGGAGGTCCCGAAAGAGATTGAGGACACGGGCTGTCCTTGAGCCGCTCACTTGTTTCGTTGGCAAGTTTGGGCGTCAGGGAAGGAGCCATCTCAGGGGATGCTGGGGTTGTCCCTCTACGACGTTGTAGAACCATGACGGGCCCCCGGTTGTCCAAGTCTGGCCCTGACACCCACTGAGAAAGGCCAAATTGTCAAAGCCATGACGTGAGCCATGAAACCGAAGAATCCAAAGAGGTTGCCGCTATCTGGCTCCAACTGTCATGTGCCGCCATTGAAGTTTGGCCCAAGAGAGAAACAGGACTAGTGTTTTTACGCAAATTTTGTGCCTGACATGCAGGAAGCCTTGATCTTCATTTGAAGTGAACACGTCGCTTTCGGCTGGGCCCGTCTCTTGGAAAGGCGCATGTGCAACGGCGGCGGCCTTCAGGACACATTGAACTCGTTGAGAACTCGTTGAGAACTCGTTGAGAACTCGTTTCTCAAACTCCCTACGCTTACGATGGGGCCATCTGCTGCAAACAACTCCCTGCAGACAGCCAACAAACGAGGGAGCTCATAAAGAGCATGTGGCTTCCCATCATCATTCAGGCATGACTCTTGTGCGTGCATGAATTTCTTGAAATGGGCAATACGCTGCAGGTGCGTCTAGAGCCCATTTGAGTGACCACATGACCTCAACTCTGGAACTCTGGCCAGTCCAAAACCAGCCCCCTTCACACCTCTTCCTTCCTCATCCCGCCTCACGCACAATGTCGAACTGGCCCGGCTGCGAGCGATTGGGCGGAGCCACAAAGTACAGCACATGCCTCGTCAAGCTTGCTTGCAGGGGAGCGAAGCGCTTGAAAAGGCAACCCCCTCGGAAATGGGACATGCGGCTCAAATCCAAATGTCTATCTTTGAAAGAAGTTGAGGGCGCTTTTGCGTTGTTCCGTGCCACTCAAAACGTAGGTGTCCCGTCATGGCCAGATAAAAACAAGAAACAAAGCTCAGCAAGTGCCGTGGACTGGATCGCAATTGCGCCGGTCTCACTCGGACAACAAGTTGGTTCCCACTTCCAACGGCAACAAACAATGGTCTACGAATTGCAACCAACGGTACAGCTTCATTCAAGTCAAGGTGACACCTGAAGATTTTGGCTTTGGTCAAATCGTGTTTCGAAAGCCTGGCAAGTGCTAAAGAAACATACCATACAAGGTGGGCTGTCAAAACTGATCCGCGCTAGTTGCTTACAAAAATAAGGTGCCCCTTTTGTCACACATCCAGGCAATTGCGTTCTCTCAGTTTGGGGATGGCCATCTTGGAGTCTGCGGGTACCCCCCCGCAGCTGGGTGTTGGAGGGCTTCTGGAGGTAGGTCTTGAGGATGCCATGCGGTTTTCGTGTTGCTTGAGGGTGCTCAGGTGCTCCTTTCAGGATTGTTTGAAAGGAAGCCAAAAGACCATTTCAGGGGTCCCCTATTTTGGCATGTACCGGTCCAAGTGATCGATCGTTGGACCCCGCGCCTTCCTTTTGAACCTGACTAATTTAGACCCCAGTGCGGAAGAGCCAAATCCACCGAATCGGATTTAATCATGTGAAGTGCGATCATGTGGAGAATCTACCTTCCGCAAATGGGCCCGAGGCCGGTGCCAAAAGCAAGACACCAACTGCCGGCAGCGCAGACAGATTAGACATCACGGGAAAAAAACCACCCTTACGCTACTTTGTGGTCTCTCTTGCAAGAAGTGCTGCTTCAAAGCACGTTGTGCCCTTACAGGGCGGAAGGAAACAACATCCCAGCTGTCCCCCCGACGGCGAGACTTCCGTTCGACCCCCCGCCTCGGTATCACTTTGAACCCGAGTTGCTACCGTGCATGTTGACCTGTTGAATCCTGTTAACTTACCCGCCCTTAACGTCCCTCTTGCTTTGCCATTCTGTTTTCCTGCACGGTTTCGGCCCCACCTGAAAGCGGAAGGCTTTTGGATCCGTCTCTCGTCGTCATGGCACCCACCAGCAATAGGAATTGTCGCTTCCATGTTGCAACGTGCGTTTTTGGTCGCAAACAAGACCATGTTTTCACCTTGACTTGTTGTCCGAACGTCGGCGCCTTTGTGCTTTACCTCAGAGGATGTGTTGTTTTTGTCAACTTTTGTCTTCCCTGATTTTGCTTGTTTTTGTGTGTGTGTGTGCCAGAGTGTGTGTGTGTGTGTACGTGCCAAGGTTAGAAAAGAGGTCAGGGTGGCACAGGTGCTCAGACTAGAAGAAATTGGGTCAAGGTGAAGCCAAAACCTTGGCCATGGCCAAGCCTAGGAAAAGGGGGTCAAGCTAATTAGACCAAGGTGTGAAGGTTAAACGAGGGTCCAGTTGGTTAAGATGAACAAACAAACGCACACACACACACACACCTGTGTGTTCCCATTTTGCGCTCATCTCGGGTTTCACATGTGCCCTCCGGAGCTTGCGGCCCCCGGCGCGAAGGCGGAGGGGCAACGCCAGCTGGCGGGCCACCAGGCGTCGCCGATGGTCTCCTCGATCCTAACGGATACGAAATCCAAAGGGCGTCGCCAAAGACGAAGCGCGCGGAAGAAGCGGAAGTGAAGTTTTTCACTGCAAGTGGGCAAACTTCAAGTTGCCAGAACAAACCCAAGCCCCCACTTCAACCACAGGTCATTCAGCAGCTATGAAACATCGTGCGCAACAGCAGGGTTCGGATGCTAGAAACAAGTCCAACGATCTTTGACCAAAAAGCAGGCCGAACATAGGCGAATTCATCCACAAGTCAAATGTGCTGTTTTATTTGCACGGTTTCAACATTGCCAAAGAACGCTGGTCAAAGCCCAGGTTTGACTTGTGAGAATTGAGTGAGTTTAAGGTGGAGGAATTTTAGTGCTCTTTGGGTTTAGGTTCAAGGCTTTTAGGGTTTATATTTAAGCTTTTCAGGTTCGAGCTTTGAAGGCTTACGGTTCTGACGTCAGGTCCGCTACCTTCGTGATGTGTGCGAAGCAGTTCGTGAGCGTCCGCGCTTCAAGGGGTTGCGCAGGTCGTCTGGCAGGATCACCTCGAGGATGCGCAGCTGGTAGCAGATCCTGAGAAAAAAGATGCCAGATAGAAGGCGCGAACGAAAATGCACCTTGATTTCCAGAGTTATGGGCTTTCGCGATGTTTGGGCTAACACGGTTTGGCAGCATGCGGGAGCCATCTTGGGCAATGACAACAACAACAACCTGCTGCAGGCAAAGCGCCAGGTCATGTCAAATTGCAGCAAGGCGAGCATAGGAGTTTTCTTCATTTCTGTCCGTCTGCCTGTCTGCAGGCCTGTCGGTCTGCCAACATTACTACTCATCTATCTATCTGGCTGCCCGCCTGCCAATCTGTCTATCTTACTCGTACTGTTCTGACGCAAACGAACCCCATCATCTAACCCCTCTTGTCTGTCTATCTCTCTGCCTATCCATTCATCCATCCATCTCTCACCCATTCTCCCGTTTCCTCCTGTCAACATGCAAAAGTGCTTACGTAGTAATCTCCCTATCATCAGGCAACACAGCAAGAAAGCAAGCAAGCAAGCAAGCAAGCAAGCAAGCAAGCAAGCAAGCAAGCACGCAACCAACCAACCAACCAACCAACCAACCAACCAACCAACCAGCCAGCCAGCCAGCCAGCCAGCCAGCCAGCCAGCCAGCCAGCCAGCCAGCCAACCAGCCACTAAACCAACCGCAGCCAAAAATCAATCAGTCCAGCAGTCAATCAGCCAGGCAGTCAGACAGTCAGTCAGTTAGCCAGTCAATCAATCAACCAACAAGCCAACCAATCAGTCAATCCACCAACCAATGAATGAATCAATAAGCGTTGTTGGTTTGGTTGGTTGCTTGCTTGGCTAAATGATTGGTTGGTTGGTACTTTGCTTGTTTCGTTGCTTGCTCGCTTGCTTGATGGTGTGATGTGGTTCAGTTCCTGTTTTTGACTTGGTTTGGTTTAACTTGGCTTGACTTGACTGATTCGGGTTTCATTTGGTGTGGCTTGGTTTGGCTCCATGGTTGGTTTGATTTGTGTTGATCTAGCTTGTTTCGACCAGGGTTTTGGTTTGGCCTGCTTTGCTTTTGATTTAGTTTGGATTGACTTGAATTGTTTGACTTGGAACCTGGCTGGACTGTGTTTGGATTTATCTGGCGCGGGTTGCTTTCAGTTTGGCTTGGCTTGGTCGATCGACCGATTGGTTGGTTGCTTGATTCATTGACAAGCTGAAAGATTGACTGGTTGGCTAGTTGAAAAAAGAATGCCTGGTTGATTGGTTGATTTCTTCCCGAATGCGTAGCGAAGGGTTTTCGTTATAGAAGGGGGTCTGGGGGTCAGCATGTGTTCCCGAGACGCGTCGCTGCGTCCGCAAGCGTGGGGAAAGCGTTTTAGACGTCGCTTGGGTGACTTGAAGCGTGTCATTTTTTGCGCCCCTGTGCGCGAATCGTAGCCCTCAGCATGTTAGACGTCGTTTCGCTGCGCCGGCGCAGTGTTTTGGAAGGCTGCACGTTCTCGTTGCCGCCAGTAGGATTTGCGATCCAGGGGTGGTCGCTTTGAGGCGTCCTGCTTGGCAGGCGCGCGATAGTGTTTGGCCCTGTCGTGCAGTCGGCTCGTTTTGGCAAGCCTGAAACGTGTCAAAATTGGTCGAAATCATTCTGGCGCCACAGTCCCGTGCTAGTTTTGGATGCGTGTCGTAAACGTGTCAAAGTTAGATTTCGTGGCAGGTCCAGCACTTTGGATGATTTTGAGTTTGTGGCAAGCTTACTTTTCGTGACAGGCGCAGCACTTTCGAGCGTTTTGGTTGAATTTCGTTGCAGGCGCGGCACTTTGGAGCTTTTCGTGCACATTTCGTGGCAGGCGCAGTACTTTGGAGCCTGGGTGTAGATTTCGTGGCAGGCGCGTCACTTTGACTCAGCGAGATCGCTCTTGCTGTGGCGCTGTGCACATTTTCAGAACGCGAAGCGAACCCTCTGCGCACTTTGGGTGGGTCGAATCGCTCTCGCTGTGGTGCGGCACGCATTTTGAATGCGCCTGGGTGTAGATTTCGTGGCAAGCGCGTCACTTTGACTCAGCGAGATCGCTCTCGCTGTGGCGCGGTGCACATTTTGCGACCGCGAAGCGAACCCTCTGCGCACTTTGGGCGGGTCAAATCGCTCTCGCTGTGGCGCGGTGCGCATTTTGAGCGTGCGGAGCGAACCCTCTTCCCACATTGGGTGGGTCGAATCGCTGTGGCGCGGTGCACATTTTGAGCGCGCAAAGTGAACCCTCTGCGCGCTTTGGGTGGGTCGAATCGTTCTCGCTGTGGCGCGGTGCGCATTTGGAAACAGAAGTTTCGCTCAGAAGCGCCGATCACAAGTGTCCATTAAAAGTGTCGTTCAAAAGTGTCGGTTAGACGTGTCGCTCAGAAGTGTCGATTAACGATCAACAGTGTCGCTCATCGTAAGTGTCGACAGAAGTGTTGGTCAGAAGTGTCAATTGTTGCTCAAGTGTTGATGAGAAGGGTTCCTCAAAAGAGTCAGTCAGAAGCGTCGATCAGAAGTGCTGCTCAGAAGTCTCGCTCAAAAGTGTCAATTCAGCAGTGTTGCTCAGAAGTGTCGTTCAGAAATGTCGATGAGCAGTGTGGGTCAGAAGTGTTGGTCAGAAGTGTTGCTCGGAACTGTCGATGAGACATTTGGATCAGAAGGTGTCAATCAGAAGTATGGTTCAGCAGTGTTGCTCAAACTGTCGATCAGAAGTGTCAATCACAAGTGCGGATCAAAAGTGTTGCTGAGAAGTGTCGATTAGAATTGTCGATCAGAAGTGTTGCTCCCAAAAATCGATCAGAGAAAGTGTCGCTCACAAGTGTTGCTCACAAGTGTTGCTCAGAAGTGTTGATCAGAAAAAGTGTGGTTCAGAAGCGTTGATCAGGTGTCGCTCAAAAGTGTCGCTCAGAAGTGTCAATGAAAAGTGTGGGTCAGAAGTGTTGCTCACTCTGTCGATCAGAAGTGTTGCTCAGAAGTGTCGCTCAAAAAAAAGTGTCGCTCAGAAGTGTTGCTCAGAAGTGTCAATTGTTGCTCAGAAGTGTTGATGAGAAGGGTTCCTCAAAAGTGTTGGTCAGAAGTGTCGATTAGCAGTGTTGCTCAGAAGTGTCGCTCAAAAGTGTCAATTCAGCAGTGTGCTTCTGAGCAACACTTTTGATCCGCACTTCTGCTTGACACTACTGATCGACAGTTTGAGCAACACTGCTGAACCACACTTCTGATTGACACTGATGAGCAACACTTCTGATCCACACTTCCCATCGACCTTTCTGAGCAACACCTCTGAACGACAGTTCTGATCCACACTGCTCATCGACACTTCTGAACGACACTTCTGAGCAACACTGCTGAACTGACACTTCCTGATCGACGTTTCTGCTCAGAAGTGTCGCTCACAAGTGTCAATTCAGCAGTGTTGCTCAGAAGTGTGGTTCAGAAGTGTCGATGAGCAGTGTGGCTCAGAAGTGTTGGTCAGAAGCGTTGCTCAGAACTGTCGATGAGAAATTTGGATCAGAAGTGTTGCTCATCAGTGTCAATCAGAAGTGTGGTTCAGCAGTTTTGCTCAAAGTGTCGATCAGAAGTGTCACTCACAAGTGCGGATCAAAATAGTTGCTCAGAAGTGTCGATCAGAAAGGTTGCTCAAAAAAATCGACCAGAAAAAGTGTTGCTCAGAAGTGCTGCTCAGAAGCGTCGATCAAAAAAAGGGTGGTTCAGAAGTGTTGATCAGGTGTCGCTCAAAATTGTCGCTCAGAAGTGTCAATCAGAAGTGTTATTCAGTAGAAGTCGATCAGAAAAAGTGTCGCTCAGAAGTGTCGATCAGAACATGTGTGGTTCAGAGGTGTTGGTCAGGTGTCACTCAAAAGTGTCGCTCAGAAGTGTCAATCAAAAGTTGTGCTCAGACGAGTCGCTCAGAAGTCTAGCACGCGTTGAGAAATCGCAACTTTGCAGTGCAAGTCCCAGCTCGAAAATCGCAACTTTGTAGCACTGTAGCACCGGTCCAACGTGCGAAGTACAGGCTTCCAGCTCCAGCTGGAAAACCGCGACTTTGTAGTACAAGTTTAGTACGCGAAGCACAGGCACGCGAAGTCCAGCTCCAGCTCGAAAATCGCAACTTTGTAGTGCCAGTCCAACGTGCGAAGTACAGGCTTCCAGCTCCAGCTGGAAAATCGCGACTTTGTAGTACAAGTCTAGTACGCGAAGCACAGGTACGCGAAGTCCAGCTAGCTGGAAATCTTGTAGCACAAGCCTAGCGCACGAAGTACAAGTTTCCAGCTCTAGCTGACTTTGAAGTACAAGCCTGGTGCGCGAAATGTGCAGGTTTCCAGCACTACCTGGAAAGCCACAACTTTGTAGTGCAAGTATAGTACGCGAAGTACAAGCTTCCAGCTCTGGCTGGAAGATCGCAACTTTGAAGTGCAAGTACAGTACGCGAAGTACAGGTTTTGAGATCCAGCTTGAAAATCGCAACTTTGTAGTACAGGTCTAGTACGCAAAGTAAAGGTTTTCAGCTCTAGCTGGAACATCGCAGCTGTGTAGCGCAAGTCTAGTGCGCGAAGTACCAGTTCCGGCTGGAAAATCGCAACTTTGTAGCACAAGTCTAGCGCGCGAAGCGCAGGTGTCCAGCTCCAGATTAAAAATCGTAGCTTTGTAGCAACACGTGGAGCACGCAAAGTGTAGTTTTACAAGCTGAAAAACATAGTTTGCGCAACAGGCTTGATTGCGAGCCCCATTGGCTTGTACCGAAAAATGTTCTCTCTAACTATTTTCTTGGGTTTGCGCAAAGTGATGCGCATTCGGGTTCGTGGGCTCTGTCTTGTTTCAATGATTGCTTGGTTGGGCGGTTGATCGATGGCTTGGATGACTTGATGGATTCATTGATTGGTTGGGCTGGATTGGATTTGGCTGTGAGGGGGTTTGGATTGATTGGTTAACTATTTGGTTGACTAAGTGACTGTTGTTTGGCTGCTTGGTTGACTGATTGATTTACTGACTGGCTGGTTGATTGGTTGGTTGGTTGGTTGGTTGGTTGGTCACCTGATTAGTTGACTGATTGATCAGTGATTGATTGACTGGCTGATTGGCTGGCTGATTGATTGATTGGTTGGTTGATTGTTTGATCATTGGTTGGCTTGATTGGTCAATGTTGTTGGTTTGGTTGCCAGACTGACACACCGGTTGGTTTATCGGCGAATTATTTAATTGACTGGCTGATTGATTGGCTTGGTTGATTGGCTTGGTTTGTTTGTTTGTTTGGGTGGTTAACCAATCTGCTAATCCACGAATCTGCCAATTCATCAATCACAGCATCAGTCAGTCAACCAACCAGCGAATCAAACAATCAACCAATCCACCAACCAACCAATCAAGCAACCGACCAAGCAACCAATCAACCGGCCAACGACGTGAGTCAGTCAACAAGTCGGCAACCATTTAGTCAGTGAACCAACCAGTCAGCCAACGAGTCAATCAATCGACTGATTGGTTGGCGGGTTGGCCGGTTGCTTGGTTCATTGATGGATTGATTCATTGATTGATTAACTGATTGATGGATTGGTTGGGTCATTTGGTTGACAGGTTGGTTGGTTGGTTGGTTGGTTGGTTGGTTGGTTGGTTGGTTGGTTGGTTGGTTGGTTGTTTGGTTGGTTGATAGGTTGATTGATTGATTGGTTGGTTGGCTGGTTGGTTCGTTGGTTGGCTGTTTGTTGGTTGATTGGTTGACTGACTGGTTGTTTGCTTGACTGGTTGACTGCTTGATTGATTGATTGATTGATTGATTGATGGATTCATTGGATGACTAATTGTTTGCTTGATTGGTAGACTGGTTGGCGGGTTGCATGGTTATTCGATTGTCTGATTGATTCACTGAATGATCGACTGCTTGGTTTATTGCCTGGCTGGTTGGTTGGTTGGGTGGCTTGGTTGCTGATGTTGACGCATTGACTGACAGGTTGGTAAGCTGGTTGAATCAACGAATCATTCAATCAATCAATCAATCAATCAACCAACCAACCAACAAATAAATCAAGTATATCAATGTATCAATAAATCAATGAATCAATCAATCAAACGATCAATCAATCAATCAATCAATCAATCAATCAATCAATCAATCAATCAATCAGTCAGTCAATCAATCAATCAATCAATCAATCAATCAATCAATCAATCAATCAAATCAATCAATCAATCAATCAATCAATCAATCAATCAATCAATCAATCAATCAATCAATCAATCAAATCAATGAATCAGTCAAATAAACAATCAATCCATCAACCAACCAACCAACCAACCAACCGACCAATCAATCAATCAATCAACCAACCAACCAACCAATCAATCAATCAACCCATGAACGAGTCAGTCAGTCAGTAAGTCAATCAATCAAAAACCAATGAATCAGTCACTCATGACTCCGTCAATCCATCAGTCAACCAACCAACCAACCAACCAACCAAGCAATCAATCAATCAATGAACCAATCAATCAACCAACCAACAAACCAATCAATCAATGAATCAATCAATCAACCAACCAACCAACCAATCAATCAACCAATCAATCAATAATCAATCGAGGAAGCAAGCAAGCAACGAATCAACCAAGCTACCAACCAATCAATCCAATACATCCATCTGCTTGTCTTTCAACCAACCAATCATTTACATCATGCGCTTCCGCTTATCTATCTGTGTGCCTGGCGACCATTCCAATCTATCCGTGTCTCAATCCTGCCCATGCATCTGTCAGCCTGGGGCTAAGAACGCGCAAAGGACAGCGCCTCCCACTACTACACAAAGCACTGCTCGCCGGAACTGGCACTCCGTGCTCCAAAATGCTGCGCCTGCCACGAAATTCAGCGTGCGACCCTCCAGAATCATGCGCCTGCCACGAAAGTGGCACTCCATGTTTCAAAGCGCTGTGCGTGGCACGAATTTGCGACGAAACAAAACATGTTCAACTCACACGAAATCCAATTCTGACAAGTTTGCCACGCGTGTCCAGAATTCACATGAGCCCGTGGCCGCAGAGTCATGATTTCTGCCAACTATAACTGCAAGCATACCAGAACGAGTCGCCTTGAAAAGCAAATCATAATGGCGAGGCGACGCAAACATGCGACCCTCAAAAGCACTGCGCCTGCGTTCCGAAACGACGCGAAACCATCCCAAACCTACAATTTACGCACAGGCGCAACCAATATAACACAACAGCCCCCGGCCAAATTTGCCCTCGCCAAAAACCTTCCCCCACCCCCCCGCCCACCTTGCCCCGGCGTTGCAAACAACAAGCACGCATGGACCCAACAACAGCATGGCTGACCCCTAGTAAATTGCACCGGGCTTTTACCCACCGGCATGTCCGAGTGGCTTCCACCCCTGCACACCCTCGCTCACGCGCATCAGGTCCGAGCTGCGCCCGAGTTGGCACATGCTAAGCACACCCGCTCACTCGCACAACATCCGAGCTGCACGCGCGCGCTGGCACATGATAAGCACCCCCTCTCACGCGCATCACGCACGCTGGCGCATGATAAGCAGTCGCTCTGACGCGCATCACGTCAGAGCTGCACGCACGCTGGCACATGATAAGCACCCCTTCTCGCGCGCATCACGCACGCTGGCGCATGATAAGCAGTCGCTCTGACGCGCATCACGTCAGAGCTGCACGCACGCTGGCACATGATAAGCACCCCTCTCACGCGCATCACGCACGCTGGCGCATGATAAGCAGTCGCTCTGACGCGCATCACGTCAGAGCTGCACGCACGCTGGCACATGATAAGCACCCCTTCTCGCGCGCATCACGCACGCTGGCGGATGTCCCACAACCCGAGAAACATCATTCTGTCAAACTGCCTGAGAATAGACGCGTGAGCTCCGAGGACATGCGCAAAAATGTGCGGATGACTATGTACCCGGCACGTACTAAATACTACTTTGCCCCAAGTAGAATATCATAAGCCCATTCGCCCTAAACGAGACAAACTCAAGAAAGATACACGCAACGACCGCCCTTTTTGACAACGTTTGGTCTCGGCGTGCTGGGGATTCGTCAAATACATCCAACACGTCCAACACAATCCCCGGATGTCACGCTTGAGGCCCCTTCCCGATCCGACCACAACCCATAGGTGCGCAAGACTGCTCTCAGGCCCTGGCTGGCAGACGTAGGCACCAAAGATGCAAATCCTGGGGATCTGCTCTGCGTAATCGCTCGGCTTGGCTTTGCTTCTTCAACATGGCTTGCCCAAATCTGGAGACCGTTTTGCTGGCTACAGTATGGTTGATCAGAATAGGTTCGACGCGCGGCGGCAACAGCCAAGGCCAACAGCTGAAATATAGGGAGATCCGCAGCACACAGCAGTCGAAATACGCCGCCAAGGATCGACAATCCCCTAGGCAAAGGCTACGCCAAGATGCGCTGGCCACGCCGGTCTAGCAGCCAAACAAGGTGGTTCTTTCTGCGTATCCTCATACATTCATTGCACATGTCCAGCTTCCCTTTGTTGCTGGCTCCTGCGTCTTTCTTTGTGAGAGAGGTTCAGTTCCGCGCACCACCAACCCAACGGCTTGACATGATGCGCTTCATGGAGGGCATACAGTTGACACTTCGCCATGTGAGCGGATCCACATTCGGCGCGTGTCAATCGAAGCAAGAAACGCACGTGAGAACGGTGGCACGACAAAACTGAATCCATTCGATTTCCAATAGAGGGGCCTTTTGCAAGCATTATGGTCACGATGCGCGGTAACCCAAGAAAACCATGCGCGAATCAGAAAAAGGGAGAATCTAAATGTGTGAGATGCCCAGCTGGGCACAGGCTTCAATCTCCATTTTTTTTTGCTCATGCGATTGCCGTTTGTGATTTCATGTTAGTTAGTTTCATGTTATTTTTGTTTCATGTTCACATCAGATTCCAGAGTCCCAAACGATGGAGAACCAGCAACTTGAAATTAAATGAACCTGTCCTCGAGACTGTTTGCTTTCTGTTCTGCAGGGTCCCAAAATTGCTTTCCCAAGGTGTAAGAATGCCTTTGCTTCCATGTTACTGGATAGCACCCTCCTGAGCCCTTTGGGCTTTGTCGATTTGTTGGGACCTTACAAGGTCCAGTGAGGGAGTAGCAACCCTTTCTGTGTTATCACTCGGTTCATTCTCATCGCGTGACTACTTTGTTGCTTTAAAGGGTTTTTGGGGCGAAACTCTATTTTCCACAGCCAAGCGGGGTCTGGGACGAACCTTTTTGCAACATCATTGATTCGCTTCCCCGCGAACAATAGGCTTGGTTGAATTTTAGACCTCGGGCACGGCGCTCCGAGCCAGTGTGTTTAGGCATCGGCGCCCCACTTCTGCTCATTCTGCCGGCACGAGTGAACCGCAACTGCGCTCCGATCGACCCGTCCCAGTCCATGTGAAGATCACCACCACGATGCTGAAGTGCACGTGAAAGTCCAGGGACATGCCTCACACTCAAACCGACACGTACACACACAGACACAAACAAGAACACACACAAACACAGACAACACATTCACGCACACTCAAATACACACAAATACACGCACGCAGACGCACACACACACACAAACACGCACACACAAACACACGCACGCACACACACACACACATACACACAAACACGCGCAAACACAAACACACTCAAGCACACACACACACGAACAAACACACACACACACAAACACGCACACACAAGCGCAAACACACACACACAAACACACTCAAGCACACAAACACGAACACACATACACAAACACACACACACACACGCAACACATATACGCACACCCAAATACACACAAAAACGCGCACGCGAACGCACACACACACAAGCACACATTCACACACAAACACGCACACAAACACACGCACACACACACACATACACACAAACACACGAAAACACAAACACAGACAAGAACACACCCGCACACACGAACAACCACACACAAACACGCACACACAAATAAACACAGAAACACACTCACAGACACACACACACAAACACACACACACACGCACGCAAAAACACAAACACAAACACACACACACACAAAAACAACAACACACACATGAACAACAACACACACAAACACAAACACACACACAAACACACAAGCACACAAACAAACACACAGACACAAACACACAGAGAGACACACAAACACAAGCGCACACACACAAGCCACAACACACACAAACAGAAGAACGCAAACACACACAAACACAAGCACACACACAAAACACACAACAAGGCACACACACACACGAACACATAAAAAACTCGAACAAAAACACACACACACAAACACGCACAAACACATACACACAAAACACACAGAAACACACACACACACGCGCACAACACAAACACAAACACACACAAACACAAAAACAAACAAACACACACACACACAAACACACAGAGACACACAAACACAAACACACACACAAAAAACAACACAAACACACACAAATACAAAAACACAAACACACTCACACCCACACACGCAAACACACACACACACGAACAGACACGAACAATCGCAAACACAAAAGCAACAACACGCACGCAAACGCACACACACACAAACACGCACACACAAACACACGCAGACTCACACACACAAACACATACACACACAGGCACGCAAACACACAAACACACACACGAAACAAGTATACACAAACACATACACACAAATCCACAAACAAACACACGCAGAAACACACAAACACAATCACCAAAAAACACACACACAAAATCACACATACAAACAAACACACACACGAACACACAAACACACACACACACAAACGCACAAACACAAACAAAAACAACACACACAAACACAAACACACAAAACACACGCACAGACAAAAACACACAAAAACAAACACACTCACACACACACAAAAACACAAACACAAAACACACATAAAAACACAAACACTCACACACACACACACACACGCACACGCAAACACGCACAAACACAAACACACACACACATACAAAACACAGAAACACAAACACACTCAAGCACACACACAAACACAAACACACACAAACACAAAAACATAAGCACACTGACACACACAAACGCGCAAGCACAAACACACACACACACTCAAACACAAGCAGACACAAAGAAACACACACAAAAAACAAACACACAGACACAAAAACACAAACACAAACACACACACACACACACGTACACAAAATTACGCACAAAAACACACACAAAAACAAACACACAAACTCAAACACAAGCACACACAAACACGCAAACACAGAAACAGACACAAACAAACTCACAAACACAAACCCACACACAAACGCACACAGACACACAAAAAAAACACAGTCACACAAACACAGTCACACAAACACACACACACACACACGAACACGCACACACAAACACACAGGCAAGCACACACACAAACACACACACAAACATACACACAAACACACACGCAAACACACACACACACACACAGAGACTCACAAACACAAACACACACAAACACACACACAAACACACACACGAACACGAACACACACGAACACACACGCACACACACACACACACACGCACACAAACACGCGAAAATAAAAAACACACACACAGACTCACGCACACAGACACACAGACACACAAACACACACAGAAACACACTGACAAACACACACAAACACAAACACAAACAAAACCAGAAACATACAAACAATCACACACGCAAACACACGCACAGAGACACACAAACACAAACACACACACACACACACGAGCACACACACACACACGCACACCAACACACAAAAATTATATCAAACAAATACGCACACAAACACACACACACACAAACACACAAACAAACAAACAAACAAACAAACAAACAAACACACACACACACAAGCACACACAGAGACGCACAAACACCAACACAAACAACACCCACAAACACTCACAATCACAGAACACAAGCACACTCAAACACACACACACAAACACAAACACACACACACACACAAAAACACGCACACAAAAACACACATACAAACACAAACAAAAAACAAATACACACACCGAGGCACAAACACGCACACACACAAGCACACACAAACACACACAAACACAACCACACACACACAGAAACACAAAAACACAAGCAAACTCACACACACACACACAAGCACGCAAACACACACACACACACACTCACGCACACACACACACATACACGCACACACTAACACACACACACACACATACACACACGCAAACACACGCATACAAACACGCACACACAAACACACGCACGCACCCGTACACACACACACAAACACAAGCAAACACAAACACACACACACACACGAATACACACACACACACAAAAACACAAACACACACACACACAAAAAAACACAAACACAAACACACATACACACACACAAACACGCACACAAAAACACGCACAAAAACACACACAAACACAAGCACAAACACACACACAAACAAACACAAACACACAAACACACACACACACATACACAAACAGACACACAGAGACTGACAAGCACACACACACACACACGCACACAAACACACGGAGAAAAAGAAAAAGAAGAAAAAACACAAACACAAAAACAAACAACACACAAACACACACACACACAAACAAACCCAAACACAAACCCACACACACAAACACACAAACAAATACACGCAAAGACACACAAACACAAACACCAAAACAAACACACACGCACACAAAAATTCACACATACAAACGCGCACACACGAGCACACAAACACACCCACAGAAACACAAACACACAAACACACACACAGAAAAACAACACACACAAACACAAACACACACACACACAAAAAAACACAGACACACAAACGCACACAAACACACAGAAACACGCACAAACACACAAACAAACACACACACACACACAAAAACACACGCACAAGCACAAACAAACACAAACACACACAAACACAAACACAAAAACGCAAACACATTCACACACACACACAAACACACACAAACCCAAACGCACACACACACACACAAACACACACAGAGACACACAAACAAACAAAAAAAACACACGAACGCACGCACAAACCCACAAGCACACACAAACATACAAACAAACACACACACACACACACACACACACTCAGAGACACACAGACACAAACACAAACACAAACACTCAAAACCACACAAAACCACACAAAAACACACACACACACACAAAAAAAACACACGCACACACAACCACACAGGAACACAAACACACACAAACACAAAAAACACACACACACAAACACACACACAAAAAAGAAACACACATACACAAACTCACACACAAAAACACACACACACACACAAACGCACACAAAAACACACGCACAAACACACACACACACACACACACAAACACACAAAAACACAAACACACACAAACAAACACACGCACACACAAACACAACCGGCAAACCCACACACACACAAAACACAAAACAAACAGAAATACACACACAAAAAAAAAAACACGAACTCACACAAGCACACACAAACACACACACACACACACACACACACACACACACACACACACACACACACACACACACACACACACACACACACACACACACGCACACACACACACAAACACACACACACACACAGACGCACACACACAAAAAAGAAACACACATACAAACAAACACACACACACACACACACACACACACACACACACACACACACACACACACACACACACACACACACGCGCACAGTACACCAACAAACACACACACACACACTATATACCCGGTTTTCCTACTGCGGCTTCAGCGGGGTGACATGGTGAAGCGCTGCGAGAACGTGCTTGTCCCTGTTCGAACCGCACCATCAAGGCATTCTGACAGGCATGACTCTACCCCAACCACTAACTAACAGTCCAACAGTCCCTTCCACTCCGTACTTGCAAAGATTCGCCTCGGCCCCAGACCCGGCAAACGTTCAGAGCTCCCTCAGATCCTTCTGCCCAAACCCGCCCAGCTGGGTCTCCTAATAATCCCGTAGAAACCGGTCCTATTCTAGGAACGAGGTGATGTTCAATCCGTCCTAGCTGGTCAAACTCAAATGCGTTTGAAACCAGTCAAACTCCCCAATACCCTTTAGAATGTGGAACCCGGTTCTAGGAGAACCGGTCAAACTCCCCCTAAGTCAAATTCCCGGCTCAGCACAGGCCGTGGCCCAGTTCACTGCACTTCGGCGCCGACTCACCCACTCAAACAAACGCAACACTTCCAGGCAAACTGAACCAACAAGCAAGCCGAAAGCAAATGGGCAACGTGAAGCGTTTACAATTATAGAGGTTGTCCACCAGCACGTAGTGGGTGGGGGCAGGGTCTGAGGTAAGGACGGCCACGGATTCTCGGCTAGCACTTCTGGGTTGCGAAGTGACAGGAAGAGTAACAGAAAGGTGCCTCGCTGCCTCGAGCGATTTTCTTGTGGCCCCAGGCCCACAGTGGCAAAGAGCACTGACACGGGGCCCAGCCACAGGAACCAGGCCGGAGTGCGGTCAGTGGACCTGGCTACACGGGTTCGAGGCATCCTGAAAGGCAAACCTACGAATAGAATGCTTGAACAATACATGAAACGAAGGGGGATACGGGCAACCAAAATCTTTCACATTTATACGAACCTGGCATGAGGGGAACGCGAAAAAATCTGTTGAAATTCACTAAAACGTAGCCAGACGGGAATATGGAGACGCGTCACCCTTTCTCCGAAATGATTGCAATACACGGTGAGATCCGTGAAGCGTGCATGAACCTAGCGTGAGGGAAATTTAGGTGAGCCGACCAATGACATTAACATCCTGTAAGAACTACAAATATGAATTGCAGCTCGGTTCTTTCTCCCTTTTCTTCAATTTCTTTCTCCGTCTCTTCCTCCTCTTTCTCTTGCTCTTTCTCCTTCTCTCTCTCTCTCTGTCTCAAAGCCCACGAAAGTAACGAATGCAGACACTATGAGTTTTTTACGAGTTTTTACGTGTTTTTTGGATCCACCCCAGGAGTTCGTAGACAGCAATTCGCAGCGATTACACCTTTTCACTATTGAACAAGCAGAAGACGTTAAAACCCCCCCGGCAAAAAGCAGCGCCGCGGCCGCGCCACGAAGACTGGCGCCGCGCTGCGCCGAGCCAGCTCCTACACCTCCGCGACCGCCAAACGACCGCATGCCGGTCAGCACAAACAATTCACGCATGGCCGCATGTCTGGCAATCTTCCATTCCCCAGTCGCGTTACCCATCGTGCAAGCGCACGCTCAATTAGTTCCAGTACTAGGAAACAGGCGGGGCTGGGGGGCGGAAGCTTCAAAAACGAGAACTGTAGTTTGGAGCACGCTTCTTTTCCAATTCTCGCTCTCCTTTTTGTTTCTTTCTCTTTTTCTGCCCTTCTCGTTCTTGCTACCTTTCTCATTCTCAATCTTCTCTCTGTCTCTGTCTCTGTCTCTGTCTCCTTCTCTTTCTCTGTCTCTTCCTTTTCCGCGCCCCCCCATTGACCACTGGCCTACCTTGACTGTTGGCCTACTTTGAGCAATGCAAAACACGTGTGGCGTGTGGCGCTCGACGCTCCAGCAATATCCATTTAACGCTCCTGCTCCAAGTGCATGATGAGAACCGAGCTTCCACTGCTGCTCGTCAATTCGCAACCCCACAAGGCAACTGACAAGAGCCCAAAAGACAAGCCATGCCTTTTCCACAAGTTCTCACTTGGTGTCAGTTCCGTTCACTCCGCCCAAACTCGACGGGCACTTGACGCGGCCCTGGATGATGTCAAAGCGCAGCAGCAGGACGTGGAGGACCTCTGCCCGACCGCAGCGCCCAACCGCAACTGAGAACAAGCAGCGGCTCCAGACGGACACCACATCCGGTGATTTTGGCTGGACCGATTTCGGGACACAAGCCAAGCGTTTTCAAGCCCGTAAGATTCGACAGATTCGACACAATGTTTTTTAGAACCAAGTCAAGCGCTCCAGCACAAGGCGGGCTTTCGGAATGGAAATTGGCTGGTGCTCAATGTGCTCTTCTTTTTTTGGTGATGAGTTGCAGTGTTGAGGGGTCAACCAATTGAGATTATAGACGCTGGCAGAGACATGACAAGGCATGGCGCATTGAATGCACGCGTCAGCTCAATTCCATCGAACTGGAACTTCACACATGTGTCCGCTGAGAAAGGCAGATGTTCCAAAGGGAGTTTTCGTAGGCGCCACAAGTTTCAAACCAGGGGTGAATTGCGCAAGCCTCAAAGAAAGGCCCATATGAAGCTCCATATCCCTCCCTGGCTTCCCCATATCACATTTTCCTGAGTCCCGTTCCCCGGCCTCCAGCGTGAAAGCTGTGGCGTGGGCCACGTAAAAGGCGCGCAGCTCCACGACAATGTGACCGTTCCCTGACCGAGCGTCAAAGCTCGGGGAGCACTGTCCGCAGGGAGCCTATGCCCTGAACTGTCCCAAGAAATCCGCTTTAGAGGACGGCCTGCCTTTTGGGAAGGCATCGGGACGAGGATTTGAGGATTCGTGGATGAGATTGCCGGCGCACCGATTCGAGTCTTAAGACGGCTGGCAAAATGGGCCCACAAGCTGGCTGTGTTGTTTTTCTTCTTCGCCACTTGCAAATACCACTCCTGCCCACTCCCAAAGCTACCTATTGGTCTTTGCCCGTCAAAGCCCCTCCAATGCGCTGGCTTCTGTTGGATGGTTTTTGCACTCAACGAGCGTATTGTAATACCACGCTGTTGAATCTGGAAGATATCCCAAAGGTCCATGTGGGAATTTTGTTGGCAACATTTTGTCCAATTCGAAAGATGCGGCAACGTTTAGACGTCGTGACGTCACCCCTTTGAATGCCAAAGGCTCACCAAAACAAAGCGCATGACACTGCGAACGCCTTAAGAGGGAAAGCCTCAGGCCAGGCACCTTTCAGACATTTTTGGCTCGGGCCACAAACTTGGGGAAAATTGGGCGGGCCTCGCGCTTTTAGTGGAAGGCCGGGCCTTCTCAAACATTGTCCATTGCCCTGCGGAGTCAGGACTACCTGAAAGCATCTTTCCAAACAGCTCGGGCTTGACATCTTCCTTCAAACTCATCCCCTTCGACTCCTCCTTCCCGCTCCTTCCCGCTCCTTCCCTCCCTCTCTTTCCCTCTTCCCCTCGTGCCGTAGAAGGCCAGGGACTGCACAAAGGAAGAGAAGCCCAGGAGCATGCAGACGCGCGCGTAGATGTCGTACCTTTCTCGGGAAATTCCTTGAGTGATTTATGGGGGGGGTCGCTTGGCCTTGGACTTGCAGCTCAAGCGATCTGAATACTCTCCGATTTTACATGGGCTCCCCTATTTGGAGCTAAATCAACGCAGGTGTAGAGGGTAACATGAAGGACACCAAATTATAGCATGGTTTTCCCAAACACTTGGCATTTCGGCATCTAAGACAAGGCCACATTAAGAGGGCGAGACTCAGAGCGTCAACAAGAGCGTGCCAAGTTGGGCCAGCCTATGGTTTGAAACCGTACCAAAAAAACGGGAGCCGCTTGTGCCATGCAGGGTATTGTTCCCGTTGCACCGCCCTCTAAGCTCGCACGGTGCAACTGAGCCTGTACGCAAGCACGGAGCCAAGGAAAGAGGCATCACAAAATGTCGTCGAGAAAAGATATGGCCGGATGTCTAGATTCAAGTCTAGGGCTGGAACACACGGCAGAGCACTTTCTGCGCAGTTTAGTTTTGGCAAGATTAAATGTTGCATTGGCAATACCAAACTTGTAATCCCGGCAAGAGACCAAGTGGTAGTGGGGTTCAACAAGAAACCAACATGAAATAAGTCATCTTGGGGAGACCATCATTCCGACACACACACACACAATTCCAAGTGCTGAAGTGGAAACGGTTTCCAAGAGAAAGAACGGACCTGTCCCAATCTGCTTCTTCGAACATTGCGGCGCAGAGACAGGGACAGCGACAAAGAGAGAGAGAGAGAGGGAGTGAACTGAAAAGTTGCGATTCCCGAGCAAGAGAACGAAACGTTGCGATGATTGAGCCGGACCTGCTGCGGACCAGGGTGGAACCCGAGCGCGCGCGATTGGGTAAGCAAGCGCTCAAACCGCGAGACAACTTCCGAAGGCCATTGCGCGTACTACTTCTGCTTAAAGTTGCGACTTTGCAGCCGGAGCCGCGCGAAAGCTCTTCGCGTACCTTTTTTTGCGCTTAAAGCTTACAATTTGGAATCAGCTGCGGGAGAGCGCTTCGCGTACCTTCGTAATTAAGAGTTGCGACGCTTTTCTTCGGAGCTGCCGCGAACCAGGCACAGGGAACTCGAGACAGCGCGCAACTGCGAAAGCAAGCGCGAACCACAAAAAACTTCCAAACGCTTGGGTTGGTTTAGGGTTGTTTTTGGTTTAGGGTTGGTTTAGGGCAGGTTTAGGCTGGGTTCTGGGTCGGTTTAGGGAGCACTGGGGTAGAGGAGCGCCAGAGCAGCCCTGAAAAAGCTCGCGACTAGATCCGGAGCTCGCGAGACCAAATTCCAAGCTTGTGCTGAACATGAGAAACTGCGCACGTAGCCGCCGTGTGTTTGGCGTTGGGCATGCGCAAAACATGGGGACACGCCAACGCACCCAATCTAGAGTCTCTGGAAACAGCCGAAATTTAGAGTCTTTTAGCCTCTCTTGGAGAGCAGCACGAGAGGACCGCTTGAAGAGCACAAGGGGGCACAAGGGCTGCACGAGAGGCGCTGCAAAGAAGGTGCACTAAGAGTACTGGAGGAGGACCAGACAATCACAGGATGAGCACTTAAGGGTTAGAGGAGTGTTCAAAAAAAAAGAGTGGAGGATTCTTGGAAGCGCAGACACGAACACAAGAGCGCTAGCAACCAGAGCGGCACAAAATGAGCATGAGACGGCACTAGAGGAGCACTAGCTCAGCACTAGAGAAGCATTAGAGAGTGCTGGAGGATCACTGGAGGACCACGAGAGGAGCAGTAGAGTATCTAAACAACAATAAAACCGAAAAAACATTCAAAAAACGGGAAAACCACCGCCAAGGTACTTACACGGCGCCACAACACGCAGGATCGCCGCAGAGGGTTCGCCGAGCTCAAGACACACTCGCACGGCGCAACAGCGAGAGCGCTTCAACACGCAGGACCGCCGCAGAGGGTTCGCCGATCTCAAGACACTGTCGTGCGGCGCCACAGCAAGAGCGCCTCGGCTCGTCGCGCGCGATCTTGGCCTTGCACTACTTGGAAGTGAATGAAGCGCTGCGCTCGCGCCGTGCGAATTTTACGCGTGACATCGTGTTTTTGACGGCAGGGACAACAGTCTGAGAGGTGGGCGCAATGTTTTTTTTAGAAAGCCTCGTGCCAAGCTCCTAGCCTTTGTGAGAGCAAAGTGCGGCCCGCAGCACGATGTGAGACTGGCGCGCAATTTTTGTGGCGGGCACAATATGATTTGCGCTGATGCCATGGGCTGCGTGGCAAGCGCAGCATTGGGTCTGTGAATTTCGTGGCACAGCGAGAGCGCACGCACCAACGCGACGTGCGAGAATGCGTCGAAGAACCCCATCTAACCCAGCTTGAACTCTTACCGTAATAACCCCTCAGTGCAGACACCACTTTGGATTACTGGCAAAAAAGTCTAAAATTATCAGGTCTAAGTACAGTACCGGCGGGCGCCACTAGATTTAATATGAAGCAACCAGCAATCTGCAAAGGGTTGTTTCTGGACTTGCATGCGCTCAAAACCCTTCCAAGACCCAAGATCCTTCCTGTGTTGCTAGGGAGCCTAAGCAGTACAACCCCTTACCAAGAAGCGCCAATTTTTGCATTGGCAATAAATTAAGCGCTGGCAATGCTGCGTGGCACGCTGGCAAGAATTGTAGTACCAGGGACACTACATAATATTGGCGACAGTGCGTTGCGCGCGGCTCTTCAAAACTGCTGTTTCCCCTACACTGCAAATACGGCAAACACCTTGGTGTGGGAAGGGGGGGGCGGCCCTAGCATCTATATAGAGTATATTTTTGATCTTTTTATCTATTTGACTATTTATTTTAACATTTGTTTGTCTGTTCATTCGTTTAATCTAGCCCCTCCCCAAAGCCAGGCCAGCAAACACTGGCGAGCACCAACTGCATAATCGTGTCCCGAGTTCTAGTCTGCATCTGCACATGTCTAGTGTGCGCCTAGCCCTTGCACGTCTTCGTCATAGGCTTAGCGTTTATATCCTAGCATGTCTGCGCAATACGCCTGGTACCTGTGCGTTGCAGGTTCTAGTGTGGTATATTGTCCTGGCGGCTTCTAACAAAATTCACGTAAATTCTTGGTGTGTGCTTGGCAGGTGTCTAACATTTTCAGGATATGTACAAGGGTTTTTGGTCCACGATAAACACAGAAACAGACCGAGGGCGCCAGAAAAACAAACGACACGTCACACCGGAATAGACACCAGAGAGCGTTGGAGATGACAACACCACCCAGCACCTTGCCTGCCTCGCAAAGCAAACCCCAGGAAACCTGGCAAACCAGAAGTGTCACAGACTCTTAGCTCATTGCTCTCAGATCTTCTGTTGTGGCGCCCTTCTGTCCCGCTGGTTGTTCGAGGTTTTTCTGTTCTTGAAAAAGCAAAAGCGCCTTGAGGCCAGGGTAAAACAAAAAGCATCCTGGAGAAAACGATGGGAAAATGGGCTTCTAGTTGCAACTAGAAGCGTCAAGTTGTCTGGTTTTCTGGGGGTATTTACTGCGGTTTTCCGTGTGGGACAGGTGCAAATGCCAGAAACAGAAAAAGACGAAGAAGAGTGCGCCGACGTCTTTGTTATCGGTAAACCCTGGCCGACAACAACCCCAGGACACCCAAGATGAAGAACACGCTGCACCAAAGGAGAGATTCAACTTCTAGGGCTCCCTCCGTTCATCAGAGCAGTCGTGCGCCGCCCTTTGGCTCCCGGCTGGAACCACTCCTTCTGCACTGCCGCATACAGCCGGAAGTGCTCTGGCGCCGCGTCCGCCGGCAGCAGCGCGCCCTAGCCAGGGTTCAGTTCAAAGCTTGCAGAGAACTTGGCCAAATCAACTCATGGTTTGGCAGGGTTTCAGTTACATCGCTGTTGTCTCCGACGGTTGGGCACTTCTCAAACTGGCCAGAGATACAGTTTGATTCCACTGCAAGACCCAGAAAGTCATCTACTTTGTTTGGGCCTGAAGAGATAACCTAAGTCACTGCAGGGGTAAAATCGGAAGCGGGAGACATGGATTTTAAGAAGCAGGGTCCTTTTTAAGCACATGCAGCTGAAAGCTTACCTGTCGAAACTTGGGACCTCTTGGAGGGCGTGAGAGGGAAATTAGAAGATTCCAACTTAGCAGGGTCCCGAAACCCATCGAACTGCGCACCGCAAACAAGGTTAGGCCACAAGGTGTAGGCGCCAAAAAGATCCGACGCGTCGTTTTTTCTGTGCTGCGTCAACCACAGGAAGTAGAAAAGATTTTAGCGAGGTTTAACTGACTGGTCAGGATTTCAGACATTGTTCAAAGTCAGCTCGTCAGGGTTGCAACTGCTGCCTGAGAAAGCAAGCCAAGGCCCTATGGATTCACAATCACACTTGGGGTATGTTTAGGAGCCCCTGGCAAAAGGGACTGACCCTTGCTAATGTTCATCTACCCGTCCGTTTTAAATATATGCATAGATATAGACGCCACCGCCTGTTAAACTTGGAGCAACTGTACACCTGTTTACCTGAAGTGTAAGCCTGTGAGTGTATCAAACCGGCTGGCACTCCTTTTGCGCGAGCGCGATGCTGTAGGCCCAAGGCCTTGATATGTGTGCGCAGTTGATGTAGCCCAACTGTATGGCTAGAGAAAGCATGTAGTATTAAACGCGCCCTCTCAAACTGTACTGTGACCAGTACACCTTGCACATGCGCAAAAGGCCTTGTTGTTCGGGGAAAATGTAAGACAAACTGCATGTAAACTCATCATCAGAGATGCAGATGCGCTGTGCAACTGTGTCCCTCATGGTCGGCTCACTTGTACCATAAAACGCGGCACGCCGAAGATGGCAAATGTATCGCGCTGCGTGAGGAGCGTCTCACCCAACTGTGCGCCGGTCGCGTGTTCCAAGTACACCTTGTTCCTGGTAGCCACGCGGTGAGCAAAGAAGAGATTCTGCTGCACCTTGATGCGCTCGATGCTGTCTCTAGGGAATATTCCCACCAAACCCGCTAGTTGGGCCCGCTCACAACCGATACGCGACCTGGCAAAATATATTAGCACTCGTTTGCCAACAGGTTTTCACTTCTTCCTTCTCCAGCAGCAAATCTTCACTGCACCCGTCCTGCAAATCATCTGTTCAAGCGCACCCGCTCAGCTCTGGGCAAAATTGCTGCGCCTTCCAAGGCACCATTCGTGTCAATCACGCTGGTCTCCTTGACGAACCATGTGATCTGGAGGTACTTGATGTTGTTCACGCCGCTGTTGTGGCATGTCGGCGGCTGTCAGCTGGCTCTGTAGCTAACTGAGCCACGTCGATGCATGCATTGTAAGACCAAATGCACCCACTGTTCCAGTTGCACTGCATGTAGATGCGAAGGAAGCCGTTGTTGCGTGTGAACTTGTGCACATGGTGCTTCTGCGGCTCACCCAGCGTCTGCATCCACGTCATCCTCGAATGTACTTGTGTGTGTTGCATGTGTACGGCGCTGAAGGCAGTTGAAAAAGTTTGATGTGTCTGCGGGAGGCCCATTCAGTGATTTGCCCCGCATCGCACTGTACCGTGGCCACAAAGAATGTGTCCACATGCTGTGTACGACACGTGCCTGCAAAGATGTAATTCAACAGTGTTGTAGTTCAACACAATGTGTGCTGTCTGGCCCAACATTTCAATGCCTTGTCTGTAGACCCTGCTGTAAACACTTCAACTGTCAAGGCAATGTACATCATGCTAGTCTTGCCCTGGACTGTGTCCATGTCGAGGCCATCCACTGTACCAAATCTGTGAGTTTTGCGGTGTCCCGCGTCCTGACCACACTGACTTCTGTAGCCGGGCTGTACTCTGCGATCCGCGTCAAGCCTGTCATGGCCAAGATGTACCTTCGTGCACAAAGCTCCACACGATGATGTCAAATGGCTGCGGTATGTAACAAAGTGCTGTCAGAAACATGCGCAGACTGTCATGCAAAAGATGTCTAAAAATGTAGAGTAGCCGTAAAGGTTGTAAACGCGAGGGTCGGTCCATGGCAATGCATATTCTAAAAACATGTACCTATGACGGCTGATATGTAGCCGTCAAACAATCGCGTGCTGCGCAACCGTTGTTTAACATACTGCGCACACCGACTGTCTACAGGGGTTTGTTGAGGGCTTCACAGCCGACAAACTTTGTTAGTACGTCAGCTGAGTTGTCCTCTGACTTCACTTTGCGCGATGTGATGATTTTTGCAGTTGTTGTACGAAGAGGTGTCGCAGCTCAATATGCTTTCTTTCTTTGATGTACCTTCTCTCATGGAGATTGATTTGGCTGCGCCGCTGTCTGTGTGTACCCTGATGTTGGCGCGTACCTCAACTGCTTTGTTGATGAAGTTGCTGATGTAGAGCTCTCCTACGCTGCAATACCAATCGCACACAGTTCTGACTCTGCTGGTGGAAGTGCTATTGTTGCTTCCATAGTGTGTTGTCGCTGCGAACACATGTAACACAAATCTTGTTGCGCTATTTCTTGTCGTCTCGCATGATGCCCAGTTGGCATCTGTGCGTGCGCCGATGTTGAGTGGGATTCGCGCGTCCTGTGTCTGTGTCTTTGGTCGCAGGTTGTGTCGCGCGTACCTTGTGCCCTTAAGTGCCTTACCATGCGCTTGAGTTTCTTGTTGTCGAACAGTGTTGGTGCTTGTAGCGATCTTATCTAACCGTTGTGTCTTGCCAACAAGCCGCCCGTGGTCAAGCGGCGCTTCATCTTCTGCTGCGCCCTTCATGCGCAACACTCCTGGTGATGGTGCTGGGTTGCATGTAGTCATTCCTGATGTCAACGCACTTGCTGCTCAAAGCGCTGTCGGTGTAACTGCCTCTGTGTGAAATGTTCCTGCCAAGGAAATGTATCGTTGTTCCAACACTGAGGTCGCCTGTGTGTCTCAGCAGTACTTCAAGACGTGAGTAGGAGATCGTCTACAAGATGTAGACTAGACAATCTTTTGATCTGTAGACATTGCTTTCTGTTTCGCATCTCACAAGTTCAAGTGCGCTGGCGAGGGTGTGCGCCATGTGGTCTTGCCATTGTTTGGTGATGATCTCAAGCCGTAAATGGCTTTGTTCAACCGCCACATCTTGTGTCTGTTGCTTCGTTGTAGAATTCCTGCGGTGGTCTCATTGCCAAGTTGTAGCAGGTTGCTGCTGCATGTAGGAATGCAACACTGACGTCTCCTGCACAGACCGACCAGGTGTACACCAACGCCACTGCGAAAAGTATTCTCAGTACACAAAACAATGGTGCTCTTGCAAGGAGTAAGTCGTGGTCTGTAACGTGTTCCATGTAGCCTTTTGCTACAATTCGCGCTCGTGCTTCGTTGCGCCTTCGTTTGGGAACCCATCTTGGTTCAATGATGTTTGCTTGTTGTTCTGGTGTCATTCTGTTGCCATCAATCTCTGTAAAGACTGAGTTGTCTTTTATTTGTTGCACTGCCTTCGTGACACGACTGTGTGGGTCCAAGCCTTCTGTGTCACGTGCGACTGGCTCTAGAAGGATCCTTTCGTCGTCAATCTCTTGTGTGTCCTCGTTGGATGTTGTTTCCATTCGTCTGCCGCCTCGTTGTAAATTTGATGGCCTTGGTCTCATCTTACCTTTACCTGTTCTGTTGTCGTAGGTAGTTCAAGCGCGTGTCTCACTGATGCGGTTCGCCTTAGCTTGCGTGCGCTGCCTTCTGCTACTGGGTCGCTTCTCGGCGATGTAGGCCGAGGTGCTGGCAACCCTGGTCAAATCTGAGGTGTTGGTGATGTAGCCTCAGCTGTCTTCTTTTGCTTTGCTTGCTGTTCGCTCTGTTGCGCTGCGCTTTGTCCTCTGCCTTCTGCGTCCTTCTGCGGTGTAGGTGCTTGGCTCGTTGCTGGTATCTTCGATGGACGTGCGTGCGCACAGTCCAGTAGTTGCAGTAGGCAGCATCTGCCCTCTGATTGTTGTTGCTCCTGAGATCCTTGCGACGACGTTGCCGTTCTTGTTGGCCACTGCGATCAGCGCTGTCAGGAAGTCTTCTTGGTCTGACTGTAGCGTTCTATACACCAGAACAGACACACGACAGGCCAGACATCAAGCGGCTTACACCTTGGAGACAGACCAAGGTGCAACCAATAGGGATGAATGGGCAACGCAGCTTTGGTGGCACAAGCGCCCAAGCAACCAACAGCACAAGAGATACTGGACCTCAACGTGGCACACCTTCCCAACAGGGGTTGGTGTCAAATATGCGTACAAGCAAGAGGCAGACAAAACAACCATCCAAAACAACACAGCAAGCTTCCAGTCATGCAGCTTGACTTCGGCTGTATCAAAGGCTTTGATGACAACAACGCACATCCAACCTTCACAGCAATTGACATCCAACCTGGGACGCTCGTGGCCATACAAGCTCTTCAACTACGCAGTCACACAGCTACAGCACTTCCTCGTGGAGTGCGGAAGAACATCACACATCATCTTCCAGTATGGGCCTTCTCTGTACCAGTAGTCTCCTCCATTGTACTTCTGAAAGGTGTGGTCCTTGTCCAGCTCGCGGCGCTCTCTCTCAGTCGTGCGTGTGGGTCGCGCAAATTCACTTGTGGTGTGACCTTGTGCGGCGCGCTCGTTGGCTGTGTCTTTGCTGTAAGCCGGTGTTGTATCGTCTCTGGCAATGTTGCGCGTTTCCTGATCCTCAAAGCTGTTTCTCCTTTCCACATCTGTTGCTGCGCTCTGTTTGGAACGTCCCTTTTTTGACACTTGTCATCAAACGTATTTGTTGTACCATCCTTGAATCTGATGGTTCTTCTTCTGTGTGTTTTGATGGTGCAAAGC